GATGATGAAGATTCACTGTTTCATCAACTGGTGTGCCATCCTTACCCATCCAGCACCCGTTTCCTAACGCCAGAGTTGGTTACTCGGTGGCTGCAGGAATACTGGCTATGCTTTTAAGACACCTAAGATCGAGTACTAATATCCTACGAACATCCTCTACTCTTACTGGTAATGTTTCACACTTGTACAGTAAGACGGAACGAACTGATGCACAGTAGACTCATCCTTTGTCCAGCAGACGGATGTTTCACTTATGCCTTAAGTGATGCAAGTTGATAGAAGCCAGTCAGGGCTTTCATATTCTTGCCGATATTTCGTTGGATACCTGACCATCAGCACTGATGAGACCCTTCAGATAGGTGAAGCGATCGCCACGCTCAATTAGTTCACTTCGTATCACCAGTGCAGGCGCTGACTCAAACAAATACTGAAGTCATATTTTGCATTTCGGCAGAGAGAACCGCATCCTCAACATGCTTGCATTATTGTTCAGGTTGGTCTGAAAACTCTGGATTTCGTCTGTTCCATCGACATATTTTGAGTCGACAGTCCCTATGAACATCACTCAAGGTAATCTGTTCTCATGACGGTTCCCTACAGGGTCTGAGTCGACTAGTAGTGTAGATTAGAGAGCTTGTATAAGGATTATGAAATTCTTTGGTACACCTTTCAGTGAATGACCCACGTATAGAGTTGGGGGACTTATATCAGTTCGGCGTTCAGGTTCACTGGCGAAGGTGGGTAACCATTCGTGGCCGGAGGTCAGCTGAACTGATCCCTGAAGTGTTCCGTCCATCGACACAATCTCGTGGCATGAGAATGAACAGTCCCATCCTCCCCCGAAACAATCTCACAGTCAGGTTTCTAATTCCAGTTCACGTTATTAGTATGAATAGTTGTAAATTGTTACCTATAACCGCTGCCTTGACACCTCTCTTGCTTAAGCTATTCACTACTGTTCGCGATCGTTTTTAAGGCTTCTTATCAGCCCACGTAAACTGACTATGCTTCTCATTATTTTCAGAGCCAGACAAGATGAGCTCCTGAGCGTCTATCAGTTCAGTGGACACGACTTCAATCTACTCTTACTCCCTAAACCTTCCCTGTAGATGTCTTTGCCGCTTTACCAACTTTGCGGAAAGCATTGCGAGCTACTTCTGGGAGGGCGTACCTTACGAGGTCACCTTACTGTTTTTCCGTTTGCTTCCGACATACATTCGTGCCTTTGCTATCACTAAGCAGGACAATGAGAGGTTACTTTGATGTCTCTCTCTTACTTCGAATAAGATGTGTACACGTAGGAGCTCTAACTAGCACAGTCTTATTCTAAACATGTGCTCCATAATTAACGGCCGTTTTGAAAGGTGGCCATTCACCCGTGACTGATAGCGATATGATCTCGCTGGGTCGTGTTGGGTCTATCTTTGTGGTTGCCATGTCTTAAGATGTTTTTAATTATGCTTAAAGTTGGAATTTGCTTAAAATAGGCGATTACCCGAGAAAAGCTGCAACAGATGGTCGATATTATCTTTTCTTAGAGCTACGACATCATACGATCAACTCAAGTGTCTTTCTTTTTCGCCTAGTCTACCTGCTTGAGCGTTAAAGTCATTAGCCGCTAATACTACATCAGAGTGATGAACCATTTGAAGAAGGTTAGAAAGCTTTCTGCGAAATTCATCTTTTACCTAGTTCGGTCTTCAGTCAGTGTGAGCGTAAGCATAAATGACGAAGAAGCAACGGCGAGTTTCCATATATTTTCTAGTTCCCGCTGTTCCGTCTAGTCGAAGGAAGCCTATTGCCTTTTATGACACTACGTTCGAACACTAAAAGCCCCAACACGTAGTTTCAGGACACCACCAGAACGCTTCACGTACTCCAATCGTTTGCATTATCAGTGAGAGTTTGGTCGTGGAAATAAGAGAGTTATTAGTAGGCATAAGAGGGATTTGATTCTGACTAGTTCAGTCTTATGTGTTGTTATGGGTTTGAAGGAGAATTTCTCTTCTTGGCAGCCCTCACTGTGTAAGGGTGTTACACAGGGAACCTGGAAAAGAAATCGGGTTAACGTTGATGTTACCGACCGGGGAGCGAGATCTCAGAACCCAAGGGACAAATGCTTGAGGCCGGTCGCACACGGTCTTTTTATGAGAGGTTTTTTGACTATAAGCTCCCCTTTTTTTAAAGCCCTAAGTGGGCAGCCCTTACCGACGGAGATGGAAGTCCGTGAGGTAGGGTGAGGTGTGACATTTTTAGGGTCGACCTTTTCTAACCACTTCCTTCCTAGTGATAAGGTAGCATCGCTGCAGATACTGGTTGTGCGAGGGAAACACCTTACTGCTGTCACACCCCTCTGCAGTCAGCAGTTTGACTTCACCCTCAGACGTTCGGTTGCCTCTTTTAGTCTCATCGTTCTCCAATCGACCTGTCTGGAATGGGAGAACCTAAATAAACACTTGTTCCAGCCGATACTGCCCGGTCGGGTTATCACCATAGGCAAGCCCGACCACCACGTCGAGGTGGCATTTACGAACAGCGGTATGTGGTAGACGTCGAGGAGTGGAATACTAGGATTTTTTGATAAAACCTATAGAATGAAGACAAGGAGATATTTCATTTTTGCAGTACTCAAAAGATGGACTGAACACCGGTAACTTGGCCTTCAACCCTGGATTCACAAAGTTTTAGTGGTTGTCATCGAATCTCAAACCATACCTTCAGGAATGATTCTAACACCTGTCCGTTATTTCAGAACAAGTTAAAGTGCATAATTGGGTTATAGGTACACCAAAGAAGCACACATTATATAGTTTGATTGATCGCCATTATCCTACGTTAATTTTTAACATTTACAAAATGATAAAACGAGGATTTCACGTTAATATGTTTGGAAAGACTCTGGATGCTGACTTTAATGTCTAGTTGGTTTACAGTTAATGCAGCACAAAAAAGGTTTAAGTCAGTAGTTTCATGAAGCAATTCACAAATCGACCTTGGCAGTTTTTCGAACCATGCATCTGTATGCTTAGCTCGTTTTTGTATGGCAGTACGTGGTTATAATCAACAATGTATGCTTCATAATTGTCTAGGCATTTACATCAGTCTTCAGGTAAAATTTTTCTGCTTGTCACTTGTGTATTTTTCGAGAGCCTTGGTTATATTTTATCGTCAGTTAGTTAAACTAGTGCACTGTCAACTACACATAACCAATATATTTTCATTACAGACGTGTGGATAGCTTTTAACCAAAAAAATGTGATTTTTTCTCTTAAAATTCTTTGAAATAATGATAGTCCTTGTTTTAACAGTTTTTGATGAGGTTATTTCATTAAATGCAAGTGATACCGAAAGAACAAGAATCGAGCGCGAAGAAATCAAATTGGTTTACACTAGCTTGTGAACAAGATATTGGATATTAGATGCTTAAACATAGTTGTGGGAAAATTCCCGAATCAGGGGTTTTAATGTTTTGACAGAAACTTTTACAAACTTAGACAGCTTTGCTTATTAGTTCAATCCAGTGAAAATGGTGGACGAAATTTCTCTAACGCAGCTAATCGTAAAAGTATATTTTGAAATCACAGAATAATTGGTGATTCACAAGTCTTTATTAATCGCAAGTAAAATGCAGAATGTAATGTCCCCTGATGTTCAACTAACAAAAATAGTTGATGTTTCTAGGTTTAGTTTCGAATCTATTAAACAGTTTCACTTGATAAATGATCTGATACGTCCGACTGCGGGGAGATCTGACTCTCCCTCAGGAGCTGCTCCTATGTATTTTGTTGACCGTGTGTACCAGTTTTTAGGTATGCACACAATTCAAGACGGATAAAACAGTTGCGACCGACTGTCGACAAGTATCCGAAGTTTCGTGAACCGGACGACGGATAAATGACTCATCAAGTCATCCACGGCTTAACATTAAACGGTTGATTTTCTTCAGTTGTCTGTCATCTAGTCTTCGATATTCTAAACAAAGGTGCCTTTTACCTATGCAAAACAACAAAAAATATACAGTAGACATTTTAGTCCAATATCTTTTTCACGAGATAGTATAAAACAATTGATTTCTTTGCGCTCGTTTCTTATTTTTTCGGTACGGTTCCAAGTCTCTGGTAGTGTCCTATAGACGATTGTCTATCCACTCGACTGCAGTGTTTCCAGTCAGATGGCAGTTGCCTATGAATTTGTTTGTCCTGTGATTTGAGAGTGCTTTTGACTCAGGGAAGTGAGGTTTCTTGATACCAGGAGCTATTGCTCTGCCAGATAGGATCTCATTTCGTTGCGATGTGAAGAAAAATAATAAGAAAATTCTAATGTTAACAAGAACATTTCAGAATTAATTTAACAAATGGATAAACAAGTTAATCAATGAGTAGTAGAGATTGATCGAGGATCGAATTGTAAGCAAAGAAGAAGAAACGGAGATTGAATAAATTAGCGACCAAAGGAAATGACAATGATAACAACTAATTAGTTTGAAGACAGGCATCATATACAGCTGGTTTAAGAGTAAGGTGATAATCCATATGTTAGTACGTATTTATCAAGTCTCTTCTTGAAGTTATCCACTGAGGGGCTTGTGGTCACTTCGGCTGGAAGAGCATTCCAAGTTGAGACAAGAAAATGTGTGCACAAACCTGGGTGTTCCCTCTAATTTTGTGGTGTGGTAGTTTAAACCGAAGAATTGTTGTATAGACTTTAATTTTGTTTTGACTCAGCGTAGTAAGGCATTAGATGATAGTTATCTTCAGACAGGTATGCTTATCGCCAAAATGAGACTTTTCGGTAAACTGTTTTTGTCATCTTGGTGTTCAGATAAAAAATCTATGTATATAACAAAATCAATGTTTCAACATAATATATTCTCTTATAACCTTCAAGTGTAATATTGTTTTCACTGCTGATTCTAAGTTATTTTTCTTGCCATAGATTGTAAAATAGAGTGACAACAATATACTAATAGTATACGACATTTCAAGGTGAATTTTTGAGGAATGACGCTTCTAGATGAATGTCATAGTAAGTTCATTACCCAGTTTTATGACATTTCAAATAACTTGGTTTGGAGACAAATTGAAACATTATCTGACTAATTATTCTGTTGCATAAGCATTTCAATCAATTGTTGTCTTAGTTTTTTTCACTTTATTGAGGATCCGGTCAGAATTGTTATATCATGATACCTGAACTATAGTAGCACATTCCTATATTTTGACCTAATTATATTCTGTATTTCAAACGTACTTAGTCTAAGAAGCTGAGTACTATTACTGGCTTAAATCCAAGTGCTTCATCTTGTATCTGTGTCTCTCTAGAGCTTTTGAATAGTATGAAATTCAATTGGTTTCTGTTTGTGGGGATAAGTAGAAAAACCTTCTAAAAGTTTTCACTCTCTCTTTGAGTTTACCAGTAAAAACATAATAAAAAATTGAGTAGTTACCAAAATGTATCTTTGTCCTCATGAGTACTTGTTATTCTACATAAGCAAGGTGTCGACTGGAGTTTATTCTGCGAATGCCAGTTGCTCATCCAAAACTGATGCCTTACTAAATGTGCGCGATCTTAATAAGTCTGCGGCAAATCTTCAAACACACGGATTTTAAACCATTCTGGCCGACAACTAGTAATCACTTAGCGCATACAAAGCTACGCCGCTTTTTCCATTACAGTCACTATTATTGTGCATACTCTCTCTATTTCGTCTATTCACCCTCTCCATGTGTCAATTTGAAATATTCATCTTTGATTAAACCAATTTAGTACTGGCTCTTATTTTGCTTTTGATAGATTAGCTGACATACGAAGCAGCTTACTCATTTATTTCATACAAAAATAATAAATATTTTATCTGTATACTGTCAAATCATTAGCAGTTTTTAATCATCAACCTCCCTGTTATATGATAATACCTGCTTTTCCTTGTTTGAACTCTAAACTTTTATTTTATCTGAGTCATGTCGATAGAAATTCGATGATATATTTTTTTCATTTATAGTGTTTATACTTTTTTCTTCTCAGACTGTTCTCTTCGTTAGGCAACTGTTCTAAACTACTAGCTACAAATCCATAGTATCATCAAGTTTTTGTAGATATAAATAAGAGTGTATAGCTTCAGAAATGTGCACAGCTGCATTAATTATCAACATCTCTCTTGACCAAAACATGTTTTTAGTTTTGTGATCATATATCTAGCTTTTCAATCCATTGGCTATGATTTTTATTCTATAGCCAGTTTGATCAAGCTTTATTGTTAAATATTGTTTTTCACGTTGATAATTTTTGATTGAAACGTTATATGAGTATATAAACAATTCAGATATCTAACATTAAAATAAAAGTATATACAGCATGGCAGAACGAATTATGTGAAAGCAGGATCACATGCCCATGAAATTGATTTTTAAAAATCACACTATTGTTAGTGTCAGTCAATCAGCTACAACGTAGAACTTCGTACGTACACACATCAGTTCAAGTTGTCCTACCACATTAGCACAGAAATGCGATTTTAAATTCAAATCCCATAGTAGTAGAGGTAGTAGAAGTATTAGCCTTAATCAAAAAGATTTGTAGTCGAAGATTAGAACTTCAGAGAACACAAATAATGGATGCATTTGAACTATTGTAAACGATTTTGACCCATGTCATTCAAAATATCTAACTATCGGTTACTATTGTATCGCCGACCCGAACCAGGTAGCTACATCTACCAACATGACTCAGTCCACTTCTCAATGACTTCATGGATTTGTGTCATATTTCGATCAGGCCACCCCAGCGTTCTTCCAACTCACTCCTACATCACAAAACATCGCTCGTCGAGACTGTCGGTCGTTGGGCATACGTAACACATGTCCAAACCACCTCAAATGATGGGAATTCACTGTTTGATTAATTGGTCTACCATCCTTACGAATATCATCTACTCTTACTGGCCATTTTTCACACCTGTAAAGTAGGATGGAGCTAACTAATGCACAGTAGACTCGTCCTTTGGCCAGCAGACGAATGTTTCTCCTATGCCATAAGTGACACAAGTTTATAGAAGCCAGTTAGGGCTTCTGTATTCATGCCGATATTTCGTGGGATACCTGACCATCAGCGCTGATGAGACTCTCGAAATAAGTGAAGCGATCGAAACTGCGTATCACTAGTTCAGGTGCTGATGCAACTAAATCTTGAGGCTGTTATGCTTGAGGTGAAACGTATGATTCTTAATTTTCATAAAATAAATGTAATCCCAAGCGTTCTTTAATTATGAGGTTTATTTCAGGATATTGTGGTAGACGTTTAACTGGATTGAAATTATTTTAAAAATTGTCTTGACAATGAAATTTGGTTAAATTTATTAATCTTTGAATAAAAGTTTCAAGATTCCTATACAAGTAAATTTTCTCTTACAATAAATTTATTGACATATCGTTTCTTCCCGGGTCATTGTTTTACTTTTTCATTGTAGAAAAGTTAACTGATTTACAAAAACAAGTAACTCAAACAAGTAAAAATGTTATAAATCGTACACAAAAATGGAGACGTTTGTCAACTGTCGCATCTACAGATTGTGATGTTGTAGTAATATTTAAGACGGAACTTTCTGAAGAGATTATTGATTGGCTTATTAAAATTATTAAAAAACGTGTTCCTCAACTAGTTGTACATAAACAATTTCATCGTACATCAAGACAGTATGCACTTTATTTAACAGCGTCATATCGAGAGTAAGTTGTATTTGTTATTTTTTTTAATACTTCGTTTATTTAATTTATCTAAATGTACAGTTTATTTTCATATATATTGATAGTGTGTTATTTTGCCTTAGTACTACAGTATTTCACCGATAAAGCTAATCTGATTTTACATGTAATCACTTGCAAACTTAATGGTAAATTGATTGTTTGATTTTAAAATTAAATATTAACTTTTATCAGGATAGGTAACAAATTCTCTAATAAAGGTAAAATAATAAGGTCACCCAGTTCATATTATCCGTACACTTTCAATTCATTGCAGCAAATGCATTGCAGTTTTGCTTTATTTTACTTTTATAAAGAACCATGTATGAATTTAAGTACACGCTTATGGTGATTGTATACTTGTATTGAAATGATATTTTCATGAACCCATGCTAGTTTAGCTATAATAACTTCAAGTAAAAAAAAAACAATTATTTTGATGCGATTTTTTTTTTTCAAAAATAATCATGAGTTTTCCAAATGTATATGAAATCATAAAAATCAATAAAAATCATTGTTGATTATACTTCAATAAAGCATATAATTTCACTATACATAAGTGAATAATTTTGTCTATTCAGTTTGATTTATGAAAATTAATCAATGAATATAAGTTGGTGATTGATCATTATTGTTTTCAAAAAATCTTCTTTACTTTTTGTGCAATTAGCGAGTAAATAAATTTGATTCAATGTTATTGATGGAATATAATTCAAGAGGTGATGTGTTGTTGTCATGAACTGAGCTGGTTGAAACATATTGCTTTATATTCTACATGCTGTATTTCAGTATAGTCGATGTGAAATAGAACAATTTTCCATGAAAAGACATTGTTTATTGAATTAAGTTTAGTTTCAATGTTCAGATCCTTTCACCAACTTTTCTGTTAGTAAGAATCAATTTTTTGATATCTGAAATGTTTATAATGGATATTCATAGTAGTAAATGTTTCGGTTTTACCACGAACACTGTTAATAGTTCCACTGTTCTGAGATTTGACCTGATGATTTCATCTCTTAGTGCTAATCAGACATCGCGACTTGGACTGATGTACGTACATACTAAGTTTTACGTTACAACTGACTAAGTGGTCGGTGTACTGTTATTTTTCTAACCTATTTACTCTGATTACACTTTTCCTGTATTCTGTCACCTTTGTTTGGCTATTTTGTGCTGCTTTTATTGAATTCTTTCCCATATATTGTTCTGATTTTCTTGGTAAACTTAAAGTACTATTTTAATGGAGTTCAACTTTTGTATAGATTTTCAGTCAGTGATAAGTAGGATTAACGAAATATATCGATTAATAAACCACCAGAAAGATTGATAGTTCAGTAAAGTTGGTTTAAGCGGTTGTTCAGTAATATAAAAGAATTATTAGGAATCATGCCATTGATTTCAAAGCAATGACTGACTGACAAACAGTGCTTCATCTATGTTCACACACACAATAAAACCACTGTGCCAATCAGAGTAGAAGATATTCGTAGGTTACTCGTTTTCGATCACAGGTGTCTCTGAAGCAGTATTGTAACTTCATCAGTTGAGGTAGTTGGGACATGTGTTGCGTATGCCTAACCACCGACTGCCTCGACGAGCTATGTTTTGTGGTGTAGGGTCTGGTTGGAAGAAAACTAGGGGCAATCAGACCGAAACAAGGTAGAAATCCCTAAAGTCAATGACAAGTGAACTGAGTCATGTTGATAGATGTAGACTACCTGGTTGGTGTCCGCGAGATGATAATAATCGATGGTTAGAGACGCTGAATGACATGGCTCAAAACCGTTTGTATGGCGCAGGTGCATTCATTCTTTGTGTTTTCTCAAATCCTAACCTTCGGAATCCCTCATCACTATATCTTTTTCTTTTTAAGTGTATTTCACTAGATTCTACTTCTTGAATGATATCTTCGAACCCTGAAATTTCCGATTACTACTAATACCTTTACTACCTATACTACTATGGGATTTGAAATGACAGTTTCATCTCTGTGCTAATGTGGTATGGCAACTTGAACTGATATACCTCCGTACGTACGAAGTTCTACGTTGCTATTGATTGATTCAAAACTACTGTAATATGATTATGATTATCTTATAAGATAAATAAAAAACAATGGTTATTCAACAGGCAAAAGTAATTTTACTCATCAATCAATAAAACTGACCGCCTTGATGGTCTTCATGAAAACAATCTAATGCTTTACAAACTTTAGACTTATTTTTGTTTATCAAATTTTTCATATTTTGTTGAATTTTCAACAGTTTTTACATTTCTCCTCATCAAATAAAATGAAATGTAACATTTTACTATCTAATAATAAATAGAATTGAGCGAGAATTATAAAATTAAGAAACAAGACGCTCATATGATTTTGAGATGGTGGAGAAAATTTGTAGCTCAGTTGGATGAGCTCAGAGAACCAAACACCATCACAAGAAACAAGACTTGACCACCGGACTTAATCGTTTTTATTTGTACGTACGTCTAAAATATTCAACCACAGCTTAACACATCACTTTATGTACCTGCAAACCTTTTATGTCAAAATGTTACGAAATAAAATTTCAATATTCATTTACTATCAATACTTAGTTTGTAATTATATGTACATTGAAACAACAAACCACAAGTGTAGGGTAGGCAATTTAACAGGAAAGATGATTTTCTTTTTCTGCCTTGATTTGTTTTATTTTAGTAGTGAATAGATGCAACTCCGAAACAGTTAGCAAATTTTAGCATACATGATTATTGAAATTGTTAAATCTCTTTGTGACTACATTAATTCAATAAGTAAGATTTCTATAAAAGCTAAGGTTATGTTTATTGTTTGAAAGATGATAAGATATTACTGATAATCAATGCATGCTACTGCATAACTGATTACATTTTCATTTACTAAGCGTTGTACCATGGTGTAAAGTTTAATTCAAACTCTTAATAAAGCTGTTGAATAGTTGATTGATGAATTTATAAACTGATATATTTAAACAATTGTTCAATGTTCAATATATTTGTTTTATTCAATGAAAGATCAATATCATTGTTTTCTTTATAATACAATGCATTCAAGTAGTTATAGATTGACAGAACAGGTAATAGATAGGAAGTTCAGTTTATTGTTGAAAATTCAACAAGATGTTTTAATCATCAAGACCAAAACTAGATTTACTGTCTTCGAATTGAGACAAATTTTTTAAACAACAACAACAAAAAAACATTAGTTCTTACGTATTCTTCTGTTAATTAATAATAACATAAATGTATTCAAATTATTTGTCTATTCTAAAAAAAAAATATTATTAATGTACAAATTTTAATTTGAAATTCTTGTTTCTTCTTTTGTTCATTTGTTATTATTTTGTTGTTTGTATGCTTATTGTCATATTCATGAATTTTTTTTTTAGCTATTTCAACTAAAAACAGCTGACTACAAAAAATGCTCCAACTAGTCATTATAAATTAAAATAGGCTAGTATTTGTGATTTACCAAAGTAGTAAAATTGTTTTTATAGGCATTAAATGTACATAGTAGTTTGTTGAAAATTTTGTAAGCCTATATCATAAGGTATTTAAGCATTAATGAAAGTCGTATAATAGTTTTAATGATTGATGACGCATTTGAAGAATAATAATAATAATCGATAAAAAGTGTAAGAGATGACTGTTCAATTGAAAAAAATAAAGTGAACGATATTGAACTAGTAAGATTTTAGAGTTTGCAGTAACAACAGTTACGAATAAACAAATAAATAAGTGGAATGGGAAGGTATTAATAGGATATTAGATTGAGAGATGGAATATACCTACTTTTCTATACACAAATTCAAACTCTTGAATCAGTAAAGCCTCTGCTATACGTAAATTTTTCTTATTCCTTATCCTCCATATGTCCATTCTTTTGACATTATTCCTTATTGTAAAGGATTATTTTAGCGTACCAAAGTGATCAGTGTTGATAAAATGTAAATCTTTAAAAACTGTGTTATTGTGATTGTCTTTCATTCTCATTTTTTCGACAAAAAAAACAGTAATGATTAGAGTTGTATTTAGGAAACACTTTTTTATGTATTCGATGTAATCTATTTTACAAATCTGTAGACACATTTATATGATTCAAAGTTCAAGTTCAAGTTCACTAATCAGAGAACTCAACACTACCGAAAGCGTTGTTGCGGATGTTAGGTCCTCACTTGGAAAGGTCTTAATTTTGTAATTTTATTATGAAATTTTGAATTTCCATGTTTTCGCACTAGTTGACCATCAGCTCACATTTCCCACGCAGAAAATCCTTGACTGCCATTAGTTAACGGATTTTTTTCTAGTACGCTATTTTGTGTCTCTCACTAAAAGCGTTTCTATCATGCATAAATAAGCTCGATTTGTATGCTTGCCAACTTCATATTTTCTGGATGCTTGTAGAATACACTTTCTATGCCTTATCAAGACTACTTGATCTAGTTAGCCGGGCCGAGGATAAATGGATTAGAATAGCCTATCGTGTCACTGTATCATTGCTTTCGTTCCGTTTACCGAGTAAGGTGAACTCGTAATAGCATTCAAACATATCAATTGTCGAGCGTATCATGCGTCCACCAGACCTAAAAATCTGTGTTGGTATACTTCGTTTATATTCATTAAAAGAGTAATGATTAATGTGTCCATCAATTATTTATGTGACTAGGCGAACTTGAATATCCATAAAGGTGGTTTTTTAATTGTTCATATTATTTGGTTAGTACATTCTCAATTGAGTAGTTTAATTATTGACCCTTAAACTTGTTCTATGGTTTTAACGTTGTCATATGTCGGTTCAATGAACACCTAATGAATCGTCACATTGTTGAGTTTTACATTGAATATTGAATTTATTTTTTCACAGTTTATGAGCACATGATATACACCATGGTCACCTGATCAACAAAAATTAATCATAAATTCAGTCTTTTTTTTAAAAAAAAATAAGTTTTGGATCATTAAAATTTATTCCATTGACAGTTACTTTTCATTTCCAAACTAATAATTGTCCCTAAAAAAAGTATTTTAGGATTTTATGTTATACTAACAAAAAATGTAATATGTTGAATTTTTTTTCTGTAAATTTACTTGTTCATGTGTATGTATTAGGTAAGAACATTTTGCACACTATTAAAATTGTTTTTTTAGTGTAGGTATACCACCTGGGAGAGATTAGCAATTACTCTTCTAGGTATCGATCTTCAAGAGTTTAGTTTATGTAGTGAATTGCATATGAGACGATCGATATTTTCGAATATTAAAGATAGAGAGTTGTTGTAAATGTTTCTCGCGTATCCAACAACGAAAAAACATTATTTGAAAGCATGTTTTACCTCAAAATTGAAAAAAAAAACATTAGTAATAGATACCTTTGAGCGTGAACGTTTCGATTTTAGCGAAATTTGGAAAATCTCACAGTTGATGTCTTTCTTTTCAAAACTGAAGTTTGTTAGATTAGAAAATGTTATTGTAAAACAATTACTGACTAACTATAGACATCCTCATGCCTCATGCCTCATGCTTGTATCGGATTGTTTGTCTTCGAAAAGCTACATTTTAATTTGATTTTTATGGGCTATTGTAATTTTGTGTTGCTGTTCAGTCATTAAATATTTCGAAACTTTCAACACTTCATGCTGCTACAATGTTTACATTCATAAAAACTTAATCAGTTGAATAAGAATGATTATCCGTATATAATTCTCATAATATCAGCATTAAGAGCTAGACAGCATAACTTGGTGTATTTTTTAAAATTTATAAACGATAGGATTTTCCTACGGAATTCTACTTTATTCTACGATCCCTGCAAGTCATCAGTTACGGTCGACCATGTGAAATCTCATTAAATCTGTAAGTTTGTGAAAAAAATGCACCAAGCTAAATAAAGTCCAATGAATTATTAGTCGACAAACAATCAAACAAAAATACACCATTTCAAAAAAATACCATTAAATGCTCTCATGCTCTACATAAAATAGAATCTCTGTTCACGTTATGATTAAATGTAAACTCTGATGAGTAGAACGCATTTAATCAGTTTAATCACAAATTAGTTTCAATCAATAATCAAAATCTCATTACCCAAATAAATTTGCAATCTGAAATCATCAATCAATCATTGTTAGACCACCATTAGAAACACACAAGCACTGGACGGCCGTTTCGTCCTGGTATTGGACTCATCAGCAATGTGCATCCACGACTCCTGCACCTGGCTGGATTCGAACCCGAGACACTCGGTATTGTGCGCGAACGCCTAACCATCGCTCCACTGGGCCGGCACCCAACAGTGTCAATGTCTAACTCTGATTGATCTACGGATTTTGCGCGACCTCACCCATTTGTCTTTGGTAGTTACTGCCTACACCCGACAGGGTTGAATTGCATTGGTCACGTCTTCACACTAAAACTCCGAGAATTTCCTCACGAAGCTAGTCACTAGTGAACTCTCTTACGATATTTTCAGGCAGAGCTTTGGAGATTTGTGTTTTTACACATTTGAAATCATAAATCATTGTTAGACCACCATTAGAAACCTCGTCCTGGTATGGGACTCCTTGCAGGTTTCTAATGGTGGTCTAACAATGATTGATTGATGATTTCAAATGTGTAAAAACACAAATCTTCAAAGCTCTAACTGAAAATATGCAATCGTTTTTGATGTTCCAGTGCAGTAACAAATTTTTTAATAAACTTTATACTACTTTTTTTATTAAAAAAAGCTACTAGTAATATATATATGTATATATTCTTAAAATATTTGCCTTTTAATAATAAAGTCTACTTACAGGTGCTGAAGAATTACGAATTAAAAAATCTCTCTTACCTGAACATGGTGGTGGTTTACGTGAATTTTCCGTGGATGAATTCAGTTTATTTGATCATGTTATGGATGAGAATGTTTTTTTGTCAACTAGCGAACGTAGCAATATTATTCATTATTTTCTGATGAGTTTACGTGCTTGTCGTGAAGATTCCACTATGTGTTCCATTAAATTTGCTGATGATCAATGTATGAGTAAGTGCAATGATTTACTTTCAATTAGAAATGATTGATAATCTTTTTCCTTCCCAGGTCATATTAGTTTGTCTTCAAGGTACATTCTGTTATCATACCGTTGGATGTCCGACCCAGTGGTTAAGAGGTTAGGCGTTCGCGTGCAAGACCGAAGGCCCTGGGTTTGAGTCCTGAGCGATGCGGGAGTCGTGGATGCGCACTGCCACTTTATGAGTCTCATATAAGGACGAAACGGCTGTCCAGTGCTTCCAGGTTTCTAATGGTGGTCTAACGATGATTGATTGATGATTTCAACGTGCGAAAAACACTAATCACCAAAACTCTAATTGAAAAATATCATCGCAAAACGTCGCTCGACGAAGCAGTCGGTGGTTAGGCATACGCAACACATGTCCCAACCACCTCAACTGATGAAGTTACAATACTTCATTTACTGACCTACCATCCTTACCATCTCAGGGGTCAATCTATCAGGACCGGCTGCTCTCCCTCGCTTTAGATTTCCAACAGCTTTCTCAACTTTGTAAAGAGTCGGAGGACCTACATCGATTTGCAATCCACGTTGACTGGAGATAGTGGGCAACCGAAGTGTTGCTGAAGGACAATTGAACTGATCCCTGAAGTGCTCTGATCATCGATCTAATTTGCTGGATTGAGAATGAATAATAAGCCCATCATTTTCCGAAATAGTCTCACCTATATTTGAATTTATAAATATCGGTTTCCTTGATATGTCAATCTGAATAGTTAGTTGTCTACTTTTGCCTATCGCCACTGCCTTTTCCATCTCTCTCGCTTTTGCCAGCCACTACTGTTCGCGATCTTTGCGTAGGCTTTTTATCGCGAAAAATATTCTTTTCAAGAAAAACCTATCAAGTTGTACAGATATAATTTCAAATAAATAATTCAAACCGATAGTCATGTTTGAATGAGGAATTAAACGTGTTTTTTTTTAATTTCAAAATGAATGCATATAAAAGGTAAATGCTATGGAATTAGATAACATAATCATCACTAGTACTTATTATATAAATAATGACAAATGTTCAAGAATAAAAAAAATCTATAAATAGATAGAAAAATTCATTAGGAAATAATTAAATTAACTGAGAACTAATTATTGACATGAGGTATGTACAAGATTAATAATAGAAATATTGTGAAATATAATGATACTATTTGAATATGATAAATTTAAGTTACAAGAATACACACAGGTGGAATATATGTTATTAGTCAAATTTTCGAAACAAACCAAATCCAGATTTCATATATATATGTGTATATTAATAGTTGATGAAAATAGAACTTTTTTTTGAAATATATATGTACATCTAATCTAGAACCATCCGTTTGTATCTGTTGTTTGTTCTGTGATCCAAGTTAGTAAAACTACCTTCTCTCGCTTCTCTTCTAGTCTCTAAATACTTCGATCTCCTGATGCTCTTCTTTCTGGTAGCAACTTCCAGGTGATGTTTCTGTACATGCTACTTATAAGCTATTTTATAAGTAGCGTCCACTACAAAATGAAGTTATTTCATAATTAAGATGAATATGGACATATCGGTCCTGATGATAGATGAACAGCTGAAAGCAAAGTTCCATTTTTACTTTTTATAGCTATCGCTTTTGCTTATTCACGTTAACATTACATGCTAGTTATTTTATTATGAAGAGTTTTATCTTATTGTGTTAATAATTTTGAACAATTTTTAAAAGGATGTGTTCAACTCAAACTTGACTATTTTTTTAAGAACACTAGCTTAAATTTAGTACTGAAGAATCCGATAAGAATTTTCCAGAGGGAGTATTATCCAATCATAAATCCATTTTTTTAAAGGGAAATTTTTACAGGTGAATGAATGGCCCAGGAGCGATTAACCTTTAGACTACTGAGCTGGGACCCAGTGGTGTACAAGCCCAATTTCAATCAATCCGTGATATTTTGTGAACATCCTCCATCGTCTTCGGTTTGCAACTTGAACTGATGCACCGTACGTATGGATTTCTTCGTTGTAACTGAATGACTGACGTCTTCGATCGGAAACATCTTCATACCTGATATAGTTAAACTTCACTGATCACGGCTTCCCGCTGAAACTTAAAAAATTTCCTCTCAAGGCTAGTCATTAGTGGAGATAAGGAAGGTATTCACTGACGATAACAAAAGATGATCGCTCAATAACACTGAAGAGTATCATACTAGGACTAAACAGCTGATTAGCGGATATCTTAGCTAGAGTCTGGGAACTGGACGTAATCCCATCTGACTGGTATCAATCACTGATTGTCCTCTTGTGACAGCCACAGAGGAATCACTTTAACTAATACCGTGTCTAAAATGTTAGCCCCGGCAATACTTAAACGCCTAACTAGAGCTTGTGAACAGCAGACTAGAGAAAACCAGGCGGGTTTTCGACCTGAATGTGGCTGTGTAGACCATATATTTACACTATGACAGGTCCTAGGACACAGACATACGTTTCGGCTTCCGACAGTAGTTGTCTTCCTAAACCTTAAAGTGAAATTTGACTCTGTCGATCGTGAGGTTCTGTGCCACTGTCTGTGATTGGAAGGTGTGCCAGAGAAGTACATTAATTTTGTACAGGCTCTCTACCTAAACATCATTGGTCAAGTTAGAATTGATTACTCCAAGTGGTGTTCTTCAGGGCTATCCACTTTCTCTATTCTTGTTTGACTTTGTCGTAGACATGCTTTTAGATACGACAATTTCATCATCTGACCAGGAGGTTCACACGTTGACTTGGAGTATGCAATGATACGGTTCTATTTAGTGAAGAATCTGACAAAATGCTGAGTCTTCTGACCACCTTAAGCAAGGATACAGGTGTGTTCGGGATGGGATTCTCATCCTTGAAGAGCAAAATGTTGCTTCACGATTGGGTTGCATCGGGCACTGAACTAGTGATAGGGAGTGAAGCAGCTGAGCGTGTCGACTGCTCCACTTATCTCGAGGGTCTCATCAGCGCTAATGGCTTGGTGTCTGAGAAATATCGGCATGGATATAGACGTCCAGCTGGCTTCTACCAACTTGCGTCACTTGTGGAGTAGTCGAGATATTCGTCTGCTGGCCAAAGGATGAGTCTACTGCACATTAGTTCTCTGCGTCCTACTATACTGGTGTGAAACATGGCCATTAAGAATAGAGGATATTCGTAGGTTGCTGGTTTTCGACCATAGATATCTTCGAAGCATTGTTCTTATATCCCGCGACAACCTAATAAACAATGATGTTGTTAGGAAACGAGTACTAGGTAAGAATGGCAGACCAATTAATGAAACAGTGAGTCTTCATCAGTTGAGGTAGTTAGGATGTGCGTTACGTATACCCAATCACCGACAGTCTCGACGAGCGATGTTTTGTGTTGTAAGGCTAGACTGAAAGAAAGGTAGAGGCGACCAGATCAAAACATGAAGTCCATGAAGTCACTGAAAAGTAAACTGAGCCATATTGGTAGATGTAGACTGCCTGGTTGGGGTCCGCGAGATAATGGTCACCGATGGTTAGAGATTTTGAAATACTTGGCTCAAAATCGTTTGCAACGACGTAAGTGCATACATTCTGTCTTCTCACATTACATCATGAACTCAAGACCACTTCTCATCTCTTTTCAAAATTATTTCACAGGATCGTATTTTCCGAATGATATCTTGGCACCCTTATCTTCTCCATTACACCTACTACGTCTGCTACTATGGGATTTGAATCGACAATTGCGTCTCTGTGTTTATGTGGTATGACAACCTGAACTAATGTACGTACGTATGAAGGTATATTTTGTACCTAACTAAAACAGCTGATTAATGCTTCAAGGTTTCCGATGGTTGTTTAATTAAGGCTTTCTGTGATCTCAATAACATTCAACTAATTTCTTTAGTGAAGATGTTTGTATAGTTTTTTAGGCTGGTTGTTAACGTGAATAGACAGAAACCGAAGAACAAACGAAACCTATGCAGTGTCAGATAATTGTTTTTTCCTAATATCGGACACGTATCTAAGACTTTTCGATCTCGTGACAATCACAATACTACCAAACGATTTAAACACAATGTCACAATTACAATTTTCAACTTCAATCCCATGCAACTCTATCCAATTGAAATTTCATGTGTGTTTGTATATTATAGGCTGAATGAAATTTCCTGACTGACTGTTATTTAAAAGTTTAATCGAATCGTTAAAATTGATGTATTTCAATCACAAAGTGTCAGTCATTGTATTCTTTCACCTGATTAATCCGTGAGAAAAATGCCTTCATAATAAAAAACTAACTTTTCTTCCATTTTTTTAAAATTTCAGTTCCATCTCTTCAATCAGCTGGTATCATTTTACAAATATTTCCATTACATGAACCAAATGAATTGAATCGATTAACTGATATTTGGATACATCGTTGGATTGTTCTACAACCATTAGATGAAATTAAAGAGTATTTCGGTATAAAAATTGCATTCTATTTTGCATGGCTTGGTCATTATACTTATTCATTAATATTTCCATCAATTGTTGGACTTGTTGTATGGTTATTTGTTAATCCAAATGTAAGTTGTTTAGTAATAATGATCATCATCATCATTATTATGATTGTGATTATATTTTTTTTATGAAACTTTACATTTCATAGATTATTTCCATAATTCTGAAGTCTAACTAATATAGTTTCTAAATTGTTAGCCTTGATTATACTTAGATGTCTAACTAGAGCTCGTGAAAAGCAGACTTGAGAAAACCAGGCTGGTTTCAGACCTCGACGTGGATGTGTAGATCACATTTTCACACTACGACAGGTCATGGAACACAGACATACATTTCGGCGTCCGACAATAGTTGCCTTCCTGGACCTAAAAGTGGCATTTGACTCTGTCGATCGTAAGGTTCTATGACAGCGTGTCATTAAAAGATTTACCAAAGAAGTACATTAACTTTATACAAGCTCTCTACTAGAACACTACAGGTCGAGTGAGAGCTTTTGGCGAATTGTCACCGAAATTCTTTACTTCAAGTGGTGTGCGTCAGGGCTGTCCACTCTCTCCATTCCTGTTTAACTTTGTCGTAGACATCCTCTTAGAGTTAACATTAGGCTCGTCAGATTTTTCAGGCGTTGACCTTCTATCAGGAAAATCGCTTACTGATCTAGAATATGCCGATGACATAGTTCTATTCGGTGAAGACGCTGACAAGATGCAAAGTCTTCTGACTACCTTAAGCAACAACTCAAGCGTGTTCGGGATGCGGTTCTCACCCTCAAAATGCAAAATGTTGCTTCAGGATTAGCTTGTGACTTAACCAGAACTAGTGATAGGGAGTGAAGTAGTCGGGCGTGTCGACCGCATCACTTATTTCGGGAGTCTCATCAGCGCTGATGGCTTGGAGACCGACGAAATCTCAGCATGGATACAGAAAGGTCGATTGGCTTTTTCCGACTTACGTCATTTATGGCGTAGACGAGATATCCGTTTGCTAACCAAAGCATGAGTGTACTGTGCATCAGTTCGCTCCGTTCTACTATATGGACGCGAAACATGGCCGTTAAGAGTAGAAGATGTTCGTAGGTTGCTAGCATTCGATCACAGATGTCTTCGTAACATTGCTAGTGTATCCTGGGACAACCGAGTAAGCAATGTTGTCGTTAGGAAACGAGTACTAGGTAAGGATGGCAAATCAATAGATGAAGTAGTGAAACTTCATCAGTTGAGGTGGTTGGGACATGTGCTACGTATGCTCGACCACCGACTGCCACGACTAACTATGTTTTGTGGTGTAGGAGTAGGTTGGAAGAAAGCTAGAGGCAGCCAAACCAAAACATGGCACAAATCCATGTAGTCACTGACAAGTGGACTAAGTCATGTTGGTATATGTAGGCTACCTGGTTGGGGTCCGCGAGACGATATTAACCGATGGTTAGAGACCTTCAGTGACATGGCTCAAAATCGTTCGCAGTGGTGCAGGTGCATCCACTCTTTGTGTTCTCCCTAATTCTAACCTCCTGAATTCCTCATAATCTCTACCTTTCTCCTTCTAAATTTCTCTCACTAAATTTTACTTCTTGAATATTGTCTTCAAATCTTAATCTTCTCCGTTAGCAGTAATTCTTCTACTATCTCTACCAATACTGGATTTGAATGGACAATTGAGTTTCTATGCTGAGGTGCTATGGCAACCTGAACTGATGTACTTAAGTACGAAGTTCTGCGTTGTATCAGTCTGACTGTATTCTGAAGAATAGTTTTTTTTTAGTGAATCACAATTATATGTGCTTTACTCATTGTTCATTTCATCATTTTATCAGCCGGTTGTTGTTGTCGGCAAGTTTTCAAGATGTGTGTGTTTACATTGTTGTTATCGATTCGTTTATTGTTCATAGAAACTTTCCAATTGTTTTTGTTTTCATTGAGTTTTTATATCAATAATCTGTTAGACATTCGAATTGATAACTTTAATAATAAAGCTATTTATATTTGTAGATCTACTTTATTTTTCTGTTGAAGTATATCGTATACAATGGTTTTCGTTGAATCGCATTACTTTATAAATCATTTTTGCTATGAATACGTTTTCACTTGACAAACCGACAGACAGACAGATACAACACAGAACTTCGTACGTTCAGGTTGCCATACCACATTAGTGCAGAGATGCAACTGTCAGTTCAAATCACATAGTGGTAGAGATAGTAGAAGTATTAGCAGTAATGGAGAAGATTAGGGTCCGGAGATATGATTCGAGTAGTATAATCCAGTCAGATAAATTTAGAAGTAGAAAGATAGAGATTATGAGGAATTCAGAAGGTTAGAATTAGGGAGAACACAAAGAGTGGATGCACCTGCACCTTTGAAAACGATTTTGAGCCATGTCATTCAAAATCGCCAGCCATTGGTGACTTGACAAAACATTATTATCATAATCGTATCAGATAGAAGTCTGAAGTTTTTGCTGGGGAAGTTGTTTGTTCAGAAGTACAATGAAAGCTTCACATCTAAAACATCCACCTCATAGAGAACGAAACACCACCACAATCATCCATCATCTCATATCGTTTATCCTATCACTTTTTTTTATTGTTGATAGTCACTATCACAGGGAGAATTTTTTAATTTGTCTGAATTGAAATGCTCGGTACACTTTATTTATGATTGATTGATTATCAGCTTATCTTGATTAATATTAAATTAAATTTCACTGTTTGTAAACAGTTTTTATTAGTTCGTTTATATGAATAATAAAATTCAGCGAATGATTCAATCAGTTTATTTCTAATTTGTAAAATCTTCCACAACACGAATGCTTTGTTATCAATAGTTATGAACTAATTTACTCGATTCGTATAGTTATAGCATTATTTTTTACGACTATCAAACAAACATACATCAATGTAATTGCATGTTCTAGTTAGTTACATTCCATTCAATTCAAGTTTTATGGAAAAGGTAAATCAAGTGGTGATTTACTGTTTTTTTTTTTACAATTGGTTTCTTATCATCACTCTAAACTATACATGTATATGATTTATTGAATTGCTTGCTTTGTTTTCTGAAGACGATATAAATGGAGTATTAGTAGTTACATACTGGTTTTTACCGAATTACCTGGATCAACAAACAATTACTCGTTTACGGAGATAAATTTAAAAATTCCGTAATTGATAAAAGGTGTTATAAAATGTGTGGTCTCAATGACATATCTTCTCTATGCTTCATGTTTGTCATAAACTCATTCATGATTAGGATCACTATCATCGTCATGATGATTATTTTTTCACGAATTCACTATTTGTAAGTTTTTAAAAAATAAATTCCAAGAAGGTTCCCATCACACATAAAAAAATCTCTGCATAACTATTAAATGTTAGTTTACAATCAAGTTATACGCCCATCAAACTCCTATCTTTGTTATCGTCTAGCTATGCTTTGCGATGTAGAAATAGGTTGGAAGAAAGCTAGGGGCGGCCAAACCAAAACATGGCACAAATCCATGAAGTCAGTGACTAGTGGACTGAGTCATGTCGGTAGGTTTCGACTGCCTGGTTGGAGCCCGCGAGATGATAGTAACCGATTGTTAGAGACGCTGAATGACATGGCTCAAAATCGTTTGCAGTGGCGCAGGCGCATTCATTCTTTGTGTTCTCTCAAATCCTAACCTTCTGAATTACTCATCACCTTTATCTTTTTCTTCTTAAGTTTATTTCACTAGATTCTACTTCTTGAATAATATCTTCGAACCCTAATCTCTCCGATTACTGCTGATACTTCTACTGTATCTACTACTATGGAATTTCAATTGACAATTATATCTCTGTGTTAATGTGATATGGCAACTTGAACTGCTGTACTTACGTGCAAAGTTCTACGTTGCTGTTGCTTGATATTCAAACCATCTTTGTTATCAAATGATCAAATGTGACCATATTAGCTATTAAATTCCAATAAAAATTGTTGTTTTTGACCAATAAATACAAAATTTCCCTAGTTTCATTGCATATTAAACTAAAGGAATTTTATTCAAAAGCAGTAATAAGATTAAATTGAAACAGTTGTCCATCTTCTCTATAATGTCCTATTCACAGCAAGTGTGTGTGTGTATTTTACAAATGTTCATGTTTGTAATATCATATTTTCTTTATTTTTATTTTGCTTTCTAAAATATCATTCTCTATTTTCCTTCCTTCCTTCTTTTGTTTTTATTGTTTGTTTATTAATAGAAAAATTCTTCATTTTATTATTTATTAATGGCTATTATCACTTTAATATGGACATCATTATATTTGGAACATTGGAAAAGAACTAGTTCATTTTTAGCTTATCATTGGAGTTCATGGGATAAACCAATTTCATTATTAGAAGAGCCTAGACCATTATTTAAAGTAAGCATTATTTTGTATATATTATTATTATTATTATTATTATTATTATTGAGATTTATTATTATTATGACTTATTTATTTATTGAAAATCAATAAAATTCCAGAGAATAATTGAATATGTACAATTTGTTATCTAAATGTACATGACATTTCAAATGTTCATCTTTACATTAAGACTGAAGTTCCATATCTTTCGATTTTCAATATCAAGAGATTTTTCACGAAACTAATTGTATATAAATATACACAACTCAATCGATTGTTTTTCTCACTTCATATTTCTTATTAAAGGGATTCGATAACAGAAATGGTTTAATGTTAATTTCAGCGAGTAAATTAGTTATCGAAAGTTTACAAACATTTTCTTCAAATATATGCCAGTTGAACACAAAAATACACTCACATTGTATACAACACTTATTGATGAAGTGAATTTTGTGCGCGCCTTATTTTTTTAACATCAGACAAAATTCAATGTTCATTCATAGTTTTCTCATCTTTATTTCCATTTTTTCTTTTCATTGATTTATGAGTAATTTTGTATTTGACACAGTTTTCGTTACATTTTTATCATACAAGTAAATTAAAGACAATTTAGCAATGAGAATTTTTTTGTCAACTGTATCATTTTACTTTAGTTGTGCAATAATAATAATAATAATGAGAGTTATTTTACACAATGATAAATTGTTACATTGTTGACAGAGATACCGAAAAATTAATTGAATACAGTTAATTAGTAGAATAGAAATAACACATAGAAAAAGAAGAGGTTAGAAAGATAATTAACCACCGGACAAATATAAGGTAGGTGGTGATAAACAGAATGAACATGTATCCAACTAGGCTTACACATAAAATAAGCTGTTCAAGTCATCATGGTGAAATACTTACTTACTTACTTACTTACATCTGTTACCCCCAATGGAGCATAGGCCACCGACTAGTTTTCTCCAACCAACTCTATCCTGGGCTTCCCTTTCTAGTTCTTTCCAATTTTTGTTCATTCTTTTCATATCTTTCTCTATTTCTCGGCGTAATGTGTTCCTTCGTCTTCCTCCTTTCCTTTGACTCTAAGGGTCCCAAGAGAGGACTTGTCTTGTGACACAGTTGGATGCTTTTCTCAGTGTGTGCCCTATCCACTTCCACCGCTTCTTCCTGATTTCCTCCACCGCTGCAATCTGGTTTGTTCTCTCCCACAGTAGGTTGTTGCTGATTGTGTCTGGCCAACGAATCCGAAGTATTTTGCGTAGACAACTGTTCATAAATACTTGTATCTTCTGGATGATGGCTTTCGTAGTTCTCCAAGTTTCCGCTCCATACAGTAGAACTGTCTTGACATTTGTATTGAAAATCCTGATTTTGGTGTTGATTGATATTTGTTTGGAGTTCCAGATATTTTTCAACTCTAGAAATGCAGCCCTCGCTTTGCCGATCCGCTCCCTCACATCTGAATCGGATCCACCTTTCTCGTCGATGATGCTGTCAAGATATGTAAAGGTGTCAACGTCCTCCAAAGAATCTCCATCAAGAGTGATTTGGTTGGTGCATGTTGTGTTGCATCGTAGAATCTTACTTTTCCCTTTATGTATGTTGAGTCCTGCTGCTACACTAGTCGTCTTCTCTTGCATTTGTTGTTGAGTGTGCGATAGAAGAGTCAGGTCATCTGCGTAGTCCAGATCGCCCAATCATGGTGAATTGAACAAATGGAAATATTAAATTTGGAAATAGATCAAGACATGAATTGCCAGTGCTTTGCCTATGCAGAAATCTATTCAATTTTGTAATAAAACCAGTTATTCCTGTATTGGCATTAATAAGTGACAGTTTTAATTTTCCTAAATGTATTCACGGGCATGTGATTCTATCCTATATTGGTTTTCCATTTAACATATTAAGGTTGTCTCCGTGAGCATTTATCAACTCAACCAATCTAATCACTCATTAATCCTATTCATCGATTTTTCTGTGATCAAACTGTTTATCATTTAAAAATAAAACAACGTATCACTTTTAGAATCATAGTTTTTAACTGTATTCTAGATACATTCATCCATCTAGTAAAATGCCTAGTGGTTCAGAGGTTAGGCGTTCGCGCGCAAGACCGAAGGTCCTGGGTTCGAATCCTGCGAGGTGCAAGAGTCGTGGATGCGCACTGCCACTGATGAGTCCCATATCAGGACGAGACGGCCACCCAATCATTTATTGATTGATTGATGATTTCAATGTGCAACAAACACTAATCTCCATAACTCTTTTTTTGATTAATTTCTTAATATAATAGGGTACTCTATCTTTATGCCCAATCACCGGGAGACCTATACGTATTTATTCGAAATGGAAACGTTTGCTAATTCTATGCTTTATTACAACTCCGATTGTTCTACTCTCATTAATTATTGTTATTTATATTACATGGATGTATGTTCAATTACAAGAGAAAATGAATAATTTTGCAAACAATAATGTATCGATTATACCAACGATTGTATTGGTAACTTTACCAAAGGTAATGTATTATGGAATGATTGAGTTTTATATCATGTATAATTCAATATTCCTATCAATGAATAAACTAGTTTTCATTAAGGTCTTCAAAATTTTATGATGTTCATTTTGAAGATTGTCAACAGGTGTTGTTGCAGTCAATCATTTTAATGCTTCTTAATGTAATGAATACTGAATTTCTATTCAAGTCAAAGCATCAATAGTCATTGAATTGCTTTTAGATTTACCAAGCGAAAAAAAATATACTGAATGTGATAACATTTTCTAACTGCAGCTAAATACAGTTTTTAAAATTATGTAACCGGTAGGTAGGAATAAATTTTCTTTTGTAGTTCTTCAGATCGTTTACATGTAAAAAACATCTTCATTGTCATAAATAATATATGTATATCATTGCACTGTAAAATTTCGACTTGAAAAAACTGACAAAAACATTTACATTCAACATCAAAATATATTTACATGAATTAAATCGCCTTTAATAACAAACATGTCGTCTGGTAGTTATTAAGGACTTTCTAACTAGAAGAGAGTATACAGTATATGAAACTATCTGATTAAGTAAGATGTTATCGAAAATATTAGAAATCATCGTAGAATAAAAAGTTCGATTTGAATATTACTTTACTCAGTCATTGAAAAAATATCTCTAATTGTACTGCGTACATCAATAGGCGAAATTATTTGTTTCTGCATAGCTTAACGTAAATTAGTATTGTACGACACAACTTGTATATCACACCGATTTTTTCTGCATGATTGTTTATCATGACAAAACACACTATCCTACTCCCAAAGTCGAGGTAAAGTCCTCTTCTCCAAGTAAAATGAAAAAGACTACATCGTACACCAGTCCAGATTTAGTTTAGAGGCTTTGTGATAGTTCTCTGGTTATAAATATTTGCTTAATTAAACGTCACGTTGCGAAAACATCCTAATGAGTCCTTTCAAAACCTAATTTGTCTATGGTGATGATGATATTCAAAGATTCTTTGTTTTGATAAAATTAAAGTGCATTCTCTGTGCATGTAACGTCAATATTCGCGAACTAAGACTAGCTAGTCAGTCAGATAAGAGAGACATTAGGGGGTGTAGGAAGGATTTGATTTTGAACAATTTGGTCTCGCGTGCTGTTACGGGTATGAGGGCGGTTGTGACTTCCCGGATGCCCACACCATGGAAGGTTGTTTCTTGAGGGACCTGAAAAGGAAGATAGATTAGTGTTGGTGCGTGACCGCAGAGCCCAAGGGACAACTGCTTGAGGCCGGTCACGCACGGCCTTTTTATGAGAGGTATTTAGAGGATTAGCTCCGTACTTAAAGGCCCTTAGAGGGCACCCTTACCCAAGGAGACGGAAATCCGTGAGGTAGGGGAGGTGTGACATTTTTAGGGCCGACCTTTTCTAACCCTTCCTTCCTTGTGAGAAGGCAGCATCGCTGCAGATGCTGGTTGTCCGAGGGAAACACCTTACTGCTATCACACCCCTCTGCAGTCAGCAGTACGACTTCGCCCTCAGACCTTGAGTAGCTGCTTTTAGTCTCATCGTTCTCCAATCGACCTGCCTGGCATGGTAGGACCTGCAGGAACATATGTTCCAGCCAGTATAGCTCGGTTGGGTCATCACGATAGGCAAGCCCGACCACCACGTCAAGGTAGCAGCTACGGTCGGGTAGACTAGCTAAGGAGAGTGGAAATATGGTCAGTTTATGTTATTGCTCTCTCTCTCTCTCTATGAAATGAATGATGATTGTATTTGATTGAAATGTGCCCATTCATCATAACTCTGTAGATGAATTTCATGATATTTTAAAACCCAATCGATAGACATGTTGTCAGACATGATTGAGTAAAGAAAGTAATGAGAATTTCGGAGGAAGTTTTCTACCTTACTCCTTCTTGTAGTCAGTTGTATTCCTCTATATTCAATATTCTTGTCTTGTGAATTTTCTCTAACCATTAGTAGTAAGTAGTTAGTTGACTTCAATCAGTTTACATAATCATCGTAACTGATACATCCATTAAAATTCATCAATTTGTATGATACGAGACAAGTTAGTATTTTACTTGTATTATCATGTGAATTTTAAATAGATAATCATAAAAAGTATTTACAAATAGTCACTGAACCTCTTATTACTCTAATTTCACATTAGAATATCTGTTAAATGGTTGCTTATAAAAATGGATGTAAGATAGAATAGTTTGCTCTCTTGAAAGATGATTTTTCATTTTCTATTTATTGACAATATTTTTATAATTATTTTCTCGTGTGTTTTTTATTCTGAATGTTGTTTTGTATTGCAAATAAATAGATACAGAGCCCCCTCATCGAAAATACAGTTAATTACATATTTCATAGAATATTAAAGTAATAAGTGCTGCTACCTTGACGTGGTGGTCGGGCTTGCCTATCGTGATGACCCAACCGAGCTATATTGGCTGGAACATATGTTCCTGAAGGTTCTACCATGCCAGGCAGGTCGGTTGGAGAACGGTGAGACTAAAAGCAGCTACTCAAGGTCTGAGGGCGAAGTCGTACTGCTGACTGCAGAGGGGTGTGATAGCAGTAAGGTGTTTCCCTCGGACAACCAGCATCTGCAGCGATGCTGCCTTCTCACAAGGAAGGAAGGATTAGAAAAGGTCGGCCCTAAAAATGTCACACCTCACCCTACCTCACGGATTTCCGTCTCCGTCGATAAGGGTGTCCACTAAGGGCTTTAAAAGAGCGAAACTAATACTCAAAAAACTTTTCACAAAAAGGCCGTGCATGACCGGCCTCAAGCACTTGTCCGTTGGTCTCTGCGGTCACGCTCCTAGGTCTCTAAGACGGACACTAATCTACCTTCCTTTTCAGGTCCCTCAAGAAACAACCTAGCACGGTGTGGGCATCCGGGAAGTCACAACCGCCCTCATACCTGTAACAGCACGAGAGACCAAATTGGTCACAATCAAAAAGTAATAACTACTGTACCAGTGGATATTCGATCTATTCTTAAGCCTCTTATACTGTTTTTCCTGTGATAACCGGCTTCTCTGAAATGCGAATGCTTACCATAATTCACTTTCAATACTAAAAATGCAGCTTTATCATTACAAATATATAATGGTCAATACTGTTATCGAATTATTTAAACGACTAACATCAAAGCTAGTAGCATGAGTATAAGTGTGCAGGCGGTAAGCAATGCTCAGGCATACATGCTCATACAAGCAGGACAATCATAAAAGTACAATAATTATAGCTAAGTTGTTGTTATACGAATCATACTGTCTATTAAATAAAAGGCCTGATCAAATTAAATGTAAACAAACTCAAATCCATGTGAAGTGCTATGCTGCTAAAGAATAATTAACTGCTTTTTAAGCAATTACTTAATTAACTACTTTATTTTCATTAATTCTTCGTTGTTGTGTTATTAGATGATTGAATTGGCTAGTTAGCACTTGTCATCAGGGTATGTCGTCAGTTTTGCGAGAATCGACAATCTCAGTCAAGGATATGATACCACTGAACTATTCACGTCGTAATTAATTTATTTAATAGTCTCATCAGTGTTATGTTTAGGGTCAAACTTTTTTAATGAAGCTTGTATTTTATTGCGATCATAAACCATTCTAAAAACGAAACAGCAACTCAAAACTTGGAAATATTGAACAGTTGTCTTGTTTTAGTAATGGGACGTCTCAACAGTAAATGTAAAGACTTCTAACATTATCATCAAACGAAAAGTATTTTTTTCTAATCGAAAGAACTAAATCAAATTCACCACCGTACTTAAGTTCGATTAAGGTTTAGTTTTGTATTCTCGTTAAATGTTAAATTTAGCATACATTATGTCGAACTTGGGTGTTCTTTCTTAGTCAATAATGTTACAATGATCAGTTAATTGACTATTTTAAATAGATCAATCTTGTTAGATTGATACATCAATCAATCAACAGCAACGTAGAACTCTGTACGTACGTAGGTACATCAGTTCAAGTTGCCATACCACATTAGCCAGAGATATAATTGTCACTTCAAATCCCATAGTAGTATAGGTAGTAAAGGTATTAGCAGCAATTGGAGAGACTAGAGTTCGAGGATATTATTCAAGAATTAGAATCTAGTGAAATAAACTTAAGAAGAAAAAGATAAAGGTGATGAGTAATTCAGAAGGTTAGGATTTGAAAGAACACAAGGAGTAAATGCACCTGCGCCATTGCAAGCGGTTTTGAGTCATGTCATTCAGTGTCTCTAATCATCGGTTACTATCATCTCGTGGGCCCCAACCAGGTAGTCAACATCTACCGACATGACTCAAGCCAGTTGTCAGTAAGAGATGGATAGTGTTTGACATACAATATTTTCAGGTACATTAATCAACAAAGTTATAGTGAATGACGTTTTTTATTTGTGTTAAATTCATTTTTAGGTTATTTTTCTCCATTAAATTTGACTAATTATTTTTATATTTTATAATATTTAGATTTTTCTGGGTATATCAATTTCAATCATGGATGTTAGTTATAGAAAAATTGCTATTTGGCTTACAGATTTTGAAAATCATCGTTTAGAAGATGATTACAATAATCATTATGTAATCAAATTGATTTTGGTAGGTTTGATTTCTATTTCTGATGTTTTTTTGTGTAAGGAAACAACTTTAATTCATCCACTTAGTTTGTGCTTATTTCTACTGGTCTTTAAGCAACAGGTTGTATTTCAAAGCTAATTATATAATTTTATTATTATTATCATCGCTCTGTCCTACTATACGGATGCGAAACATAGCCGTTAAGAGTAGATGACATTCGTAGGTTACTAGTCTTCGATCATAGGTGTATCCGAAGCATTACTCGTGTATTCTGGGACGACCGAGTAAGCAATGCTGTCATTAGGGAACGAGTTCTAGGTAAGGATGGAAAATTAATAAATGAAGCATTGAAACTTCATTAGTTGACATGGTTGGGACATGTGTTACGTATGCCTAACCACCGACTGCCGCGACGAGCTATGTTTTGTAGTGTAGGAGTAGGTTGGAAGAAAGTTGGGGGCGGCCAGACCAAAACATGGCAGAAATCCATGAAGTCACTGACAAGTGGACTGAGTCATGTTGGTAGATGTAGGCTACGTGGTTGGGTTCCGCGAGACGAAAGTCACCAATGGTTAGAGACCTTGAACGACATGGCTGAGAATCGTTTGCAATGGCGCAGGTGCATCCACTCTTTGTGTGCTTTTTAATTCTAACCTTCTGAATTCCTCATCATCTCTATCCTTCTCCTTCTAAATTTATCACATTGAATTATACTTTTCGAATCATATCTTCGCTCACTAATCTTCTCCATTGCTGCTAATAATTCTACTATCGCTATCACTCTTGGATTTGAACTGACAGTTACGTCTCTGTGCTGACGTGGTTTGGTAACCTGAACTGATGTGCTTATGTACGAAGTTCTTCGTTGTATCTGTCTGTCTGTCTTTTATTATTGCAATGAAATTTGATAAAGTGTCACATGAATCTACGATCCTGTCGTCGCTTATTGATTTAAGGAATCGAAGCAACTGCATGTACTAAAGTCAATCTAGTCATATATTCATTTAGTTATTTTGTTGATAATGAAGAATTAAACTCAATGACTTCTATTCATTATCGACGCTAAACACATTTATGATCACATCATATATACAATTTCTAAGCATGAAATCATTTCAAAGTAAAATTTTCTTTGAATGAATTATAATTCTATAAATAATTTACGTGTTTCTAAAATGAAACACGAATGGACAATTATCGCTGTAATAATAATAATGTATTTTCGTAATAACAAATTCATGATTACAATGTAAAATATCGACCTCCATAATGCAAAATCAAAAAAATATGCTCAGTAGTGACTAGCTTCGTGTGTAGAAATTTTCGGAATTCTAATGGGAAGACGTGACAAGTGCAGCGCAGCCGTGTTGAGTGTAGGCGCTAACTACCCGAAGACAATGACTGAGTTTGTGTGATATCCTCGGTTTCATTAGAGTTAGACATTAGCTACGTTGGATTTCGGCCCAATGATCCGAAAGCTAAGCGTTCGCGCACATCATCGAAAGTCCTGGGTTCGAATCCTGCGAGTAACAAGTTACTTATACATCATTTTAACTTATTAGTGTTTAATTTGTTGTATCGGTGTTCCTGTAAGTGTAAGTGATTTAACCAGTCATAACTGTTGATTAGGTGACGTATTATTGTCGGGTTTTTTTTCGACATTTTACATAGTTTGGCAACAGTTTTAATATATTTAATCAATACGAAGGTATAATTGGATAATGAATTTGATGATCGATAGATCTTATGATATATATATATATTTGTTTGACTAAAAAGGGAGATGATTTTTGCATGAAAATGATTACTCTGTGATTGAATTTTTAAAAAAATACCTACATGTTAAGCCAATCAGAAGTGTGCAAATGAGAAGGCCATTTGATGACCATCAGAAAATGTCCTTCAGGATGAATACATATCTTTGTTCAAAAAATAGCTTGCTTAAGGAAGTTGTATATATATATATATCGCCATACCACATTAACACAGAGATGTAATTGTCAATTCAAATCCAATAATAGTAGAGGTAGTAAAAGTATTAGAAGTAATCGGAGAGGTTAGGATTAGAACATATTATTCAAGAAGTATGATTCAGTGAGATAAGTTTAGAAAGACAAAGGTGGAGATGTTGAAAAATCCAGAAGATTAGGATTTGAGAGAACACAATGAATGGATGCACCGGCGCCATTTCAAATGGTTTTGAGCCATGTCATTCAGAGTCTCTAACCATCGATTATTATCATCTCGCGGACCCCAACCAGGTAGTCGACAATTACCGACATGGCTAAGTCCACTCGTCAATGACTTCATGGATTTGTGCCATGTTTTGGTTTGGCCGCCCCTAGCTTTCTTCCAACCTCTTCTTACACTACAACTATTTACAGTTATCCTTGTCGTATGTTTGCATAAACAAAAAGTCTATTATTCATAATTGTCCAGAACGCTTTTATAAATACTAACAAAATGCCATGTTCCATTATCGATAAACTATATTTGTAAATAAGTAGTTTGAGGTTTTTGTTGCTAAAACCCTTAAAAATGACTTCATACCATATGTGTGCGTGTGTGTGTGTGTGTGTAAAGGGGAGTTTTTTTTTACTAGTGACTACTCCTTATCATATTTTTATATAAACAATCGAATCTGTACAAAATTCTTTTTTTGACTTTTGCTGGTTTTTTCCTGTTCTTTTTTTTCTACAATAGCTTCAGTTCGTGAATTCATTTTATTCCCTTTTCTACACAGCATTTTATCTGAAAGATTTGGAATTATTACGAAAGGTATATAATTTGAGATTGAAAGCTAATCTTTTATTATATATATATATATATATATATATATATATATATATATATATTTGTGTGTATTCATTATTAACAATTTAGTAAGGATGTATTATTTTAAAGTTTTGTAGTGTGATACATTAATTAAGCGATATTGTTTTCGGGTGAATGTTTCTTAGCCAATATAATCAACTGCACCGATTCCAGCCTCTTATTACAAATACATACAACTATTATTTACCTAGATCTCCTACTGAAAGATTTGTATAGTCATCCAAGTTGCGGGTTAGAAAATATTGTCTGTAATAGAAATAGATGACCATTAGATTTCGTTCACATTGTGACTGAAAGATTATTGTACTGGTGTTATGCATCTTTCTTAGTAACCCAGCTATTCCCATTGCTTAGTATTCTTTGACAACAATACACTCGAGAAGTTCCCAAATCACAATACAATTTAACAGGAAAGGATTATATTCCAAATAGTAAGGTTAAATGGAAGTAAGAAGCCGAAGTGGAGACGAAATAGAAACAACGTTAGTATCTTTATAGTTTTTACATGAGAAGCTTCTGGAATCTAATCCACGTGATCGACTAGCGCTGATCAGATTAGACTTAGCCAAACAGCGTGCAGCTAACAACATGAGAATTTTCTAGAATGCTCTCCAAGTATCGATCAAGCGACGATTGAATAGGAATTGGCCAATCAGCGCGCAGCTAACGCAGTCATGCTTTATTCCATCTATGTCGCACTAACAACTGGCTAAAAGAACTAACTGTGCAGGGCTTAATTCCTTACTGAGTGATTAGTTTTATTTTTGAGAATAGTTTGTTGAAAATTCAATATGTTTCAATCAAATAATTAAGTTTCGCTTCCATTCAACAAATAACACGAGTTATCAGTTTCATTTTTATCAAACAGGTTATTATTACAGTTACTGCCATTGAATCCTATAGTAAATTTAAATAAATCTAGTCGAAATGCACAATCCTTTCTTTTGTATTTATCGATAATTTATCTGCCTAACTAATATTTATATTATCACTTTTGAGCGATGAATAGATTCATGGAAGCAAAAGCACCAATCAGAACAGATTTGAGTGATAATAAACACTAGTCAGTGGCGGCTAAGTTCTTATTAGTTCACGATCCCCTAGCTTCTCTCTGCCCTGCAATTCAGTCCGGAAATCACAATCAGCTCCCACCATATTTTTCTTTCAGACAGGTGAAGTTTGTATACAAATAAACCAGGCTGCATCACTGGATAAAATAAGAAATAACAACTGTACATGTCCTACTCTTAGACTAGTGGTTGATTATGACAAATTCACCAACTTACTATTTTTCTAAATACCTAACCGATTCTTAAACCATATGAAAACGGAATCAAGTGTGAAGTCAAAAATGCATATGAGTTCAAAGATATAATTACTACCATCCGCGTGACAGAAGATACGTCAATAATAAGTCTTTACGTCTGCCCCTTGTTCACTAGTAATCCTGTAAAGAGAGCTTTAGATTTAACATATAGTTAGTTAGATTCTAATACCGAATTCAAGTAGTGATACTCATTGAGTCCCTCAGATGTTAATAATCCCCCGGATCTATGCTTACATTCCAGCTTATTCAGCTTTCAGGGAAACTTGTATAGACAATTAAAAGTTTTGGCTATGGAATCACTTGTTTTCGTCAGCTGTTGCTATGCATTTGTGCATTTATTGTAAACAAGTGCCATATCAAAGTGTCCATATCTGATGGTGATACGTTGATGACACACCTTCATCATTATAAAATAAAATTGTTAAGACATACTTTTTAAAATCATCAACTATATTTCTGACATTAAGTGTACTAAAGAAATGGAGTTCGTTGGACGTAAATTACCTTTTCTGTACTATCTGGTTTAAAGAAAATATAAATATTGTTTAAAATTTAATGTATTTCGATCATTGACATATTCTAGAAAATATCTGTATGCTGTTACTTCATCAGTTGAGGTGTTTTGGATGTGTGTCACTCATGCCCAACCGCCGACTGTCTCGTTGAGCGATGTTTTGAGGTGTAACAACAGGTAGGGAGAAAGCTAAGGGTGGCCAAACCAAAACAGAGCACCAGTTCACAAAGTCACTGACAAGTGGACTGAGTCGTGTCGGTCGGTGTCGACTACCTGGTTGGGTTCGCGAGACGACAGTAACCGATTTTACTTTCCGAATGATATCTTGGAACCCTAATCTTCTCCATTACCAGTAATACTTCTACTATCTCTACCGCTATGGTGTTTGAACTGACATTCGTCTCTGTGCTAATGTGGTATGGCAATCTGAACTTATGTACGTACGTATGAAGTTCTGCGTTGTAACTGACTGATTGAGAAAACAACTAGATTGTAAGTCAGCACATGCCTATTCTACCAAAGTGATAGTTGCCAAAAATTCGGTAAACATAGTTTTTAAAACATTATCCCTGAATCGATTGACGAAGAAACTGAAATAGTTTTTTTTGTCATGAAGAATAAATTTCTGAGGGACTTTATAAAAAAATAATTAAAAAAAAATACCAAATGGAAAAGATGAAGAACTAAAAGAATCCGTAGACACTCCTCTGGTGATCCCATATTTCAAAGGAACTTCTGAAGAATCACTAATCACAACATAAGAGTATTCTCCTGAACTAACTATACTCAAAACTAATAAGCATCGAAGAATTTATACCCAAGATAGCAACCAAACGATTCTGTGTCTATAAAATCAAATACATTGCTGTATGTGTAGGCTAGAATTTAAGACAGATGAATGTGAGAATGAAGGAACGTAAACTTTGTTTAAAGCACGTACCTAAATTCTTAGAAGACCTGAACGAACTAGAGAATAATAAATCACTGATAGCATTGCACTCTATAGAATTCAACCATGCAATTGATTTCAGTGGCACAAAAAACCTTCCGAAAATTGTTGGTTCATACAAAGAAAGACTAAAAAGCTGACGCCTTACACGTACGTGCAAATCCAAACAGTAATAATTAGAGATATGGGTTACAATTAGCAGTCCTATGGCATTTGATAATAAATAAGTAAATTTAAACTGCTCATTATACTTTAATGTATTTATTCCATCTTTTATTGTGTGAACAACCGCAACAACAATGATTACCTTCATTTGGTTTAATCTGTTGGTTTATTAGAGTAAATGAGAAATTATTAGCTTGGTCTCTGCAATAACGCTCACTTTTATTTGTTTACTTATCTTCATTTTATACATACTGTGACACTTGATTCAGATCAACTCCATTCGATAAGGTGTGACTAACTATTCATGGTCAGACAAAAGTTAGATATGTAGCGAATAGAATAAGCAGTGCACATATACACATACGCTTGCAACATTAAAACAGATAACGTGATTAGCCAATAATTGACTGTCAAAATGTGTAGATAATAGCCTCAAGAAGAATAAATTAATTGGTCTGTCAGGAGGCTCGAATAAGCCATTTGGGTCTGACGTATTGTGTACACACTAGAACCTGCAAAAGTATCTGACCTCCTCAAACATCACTAGTCACGTGACATATAGTTATTGAATTGTTTTTTTCTCACATCATATCCACCTATACACATGATTGTTGTCTTACCGAATGTCCAATGTGCATCACAGCAAATCTAACTTTTCCATATTGGTAACATGATTTGTTTGATATACATACAGTTAAACAGTGAAGCCATGTTTTTATATTGGATAATTTTAATGTTTGATCATAGTTCTTTGAAATAAGCTTAAACCAGACTGCCGAGCTAAATGTTGGATTTACGTAAAGTTCAATCAGTGAAATTTTTATTCTTATAATTTTCCTTCTTAATTTCGTAACACTAACTACTGTGAAACCAATCATTCACATTTAGACAAAAGTTCCTATTTATTTTGACCAAACTTTTCGTTAGTTACTTTGATCTTTTTTTATCCAATAAGCAATCGCTTGATTGGCTCTTATATGGCTAGATTTCTGGTCGATTATTGGTGTGCCAGTCATACACACATTTGCGTCATTGCATTCCGTTCTATAAATCAATCCGTTTACTTTTTAAACAAATCCTAAAAACACCAGTCACAGTGTTCTGTTTTGGTCGTAACAATAGGCATTACAATAAAGGGAAATAATAACTAGTTCATTCATAACTTACAATTTTTATGTGTTCATCTTTCGACTCTCTTAAACCATCGAAACTTATCGAAAAGTCAACTTCAAACTATTCTGGTTGTCAATATCCTGTAGAACTAAGTATTCCCAGTTGATTCATCATTGCATAGTTATCAAAACCAGGTTTTTCATTATGAACTGATTTCTTTCAATCAAGCTAACTCGACATTGTGTGTACTACTTTGAAATGTTAGATAATTACAATTCCACAGCAATCATCCGTTCCCTGAAAACCTTAGCCATGCTTTACAAACTGATGATCTGCTATTACTACGAATCGTAGATCCATAGTTTCCTTCAGACTATTTCCAACTGCTATACATCTAAGCATAATACACTGAAGGTCAAGTTAGTTAGAACAGTCACACCATTCCATCTTGACTGATACAATTCGACCAATGCTAAAGGACTAGTTAAATATGAAAATGCTAACTTCTCAGTGATCAATGAATTTCGAATGATGTAGTTTGTTTAACTAGTTCATTTATTACTTAAAAATTCACTAACTTTCACCTTTGAATCTTCACATTTCTATCAACAATTGAATAGTTGAAAATTGAATATTTCTATCACTAGGAATATGATATCTTTAGTGATTACTTAACTGTTGAATATAGTTTATCTACAAAAATTATACAAATCCTGCTTTATATTATTTAAAAACTGAAGTATTGAAATGTACATGAAATGTCTACTATTTAGTGTATTGTTCATTGATGAAGAATTTCAAAACTAGCACTGGAACAGTTTTTTTTTTAATTTTCAATTAATAACCAGTTTTATGATTAAAATTCACTTTCCAAAACAAACAATAAATAATGTGGCATGACATCTCTCAACGTTGGTTAACTAGATAAAAAAATTCAAGAATTAAAAGACATAGAATATGATATTTAAACTAAACTAATTATAAATAAGCTTTTATGAATTTTCCCAAAAACTTAATCATATTTATGTTATGGTTGTTGTTGTTGTTGTTGTTAAACAGACTAATAACTTTATCAAACTTTTCATATTTTGTCTTTTAACATTCAATCAAATATCATCTGATTTGTGTACAAAAAAATTTAAAAATTATTATTCTACTGTTATTTATTTATTTCAATAATAAATATTTGTAGTTTGTTTTCTAATTCAACGTGTACTTTATTCCATAATGTGTCCATACAGAATGTTCATCCATGCCTAACAAAATGCAACTGGCATTTTCATTGTACTATTTCTTTCTGTTATCATATTATGTACAATTATTCGGTTTTAATTGGGAGATTTTGCTATAGAAAAACAGTTTTGTAAATCAATAGCGTCATTATTATATTTAGATTTTAAAAAAAGTAACCTCTTATTCAATTCAATCGGTATTTGCTTCTTAAATGATGTATATATATGTATATTTCAATATATCTAACAGTAAAATTAGTCATCGATATTTTGTACTTTAAGAGGCAATGCCATTGGAAATCCAAAGCACTTTACATGTAAGATGAATATTGAGTATCCACAAGTAGTCCGTGAAAAGACATTCAATATTTCTATGGTCAACCATCATTAAGTGATATCTTTAATATTTTGATTAGACAAACAAATTTTTTCTTCCTGACTATACACGTGTACACTACGATCACAACTAATTTGATCATTTCAAATAGAAGAATGTAAAACTGCTTTTTTGTGTTTTACTCAAAAAAAATTTCTGCCTTGGTATAAATAACAAAACTTTAAACATTTGAAAGGTACACATCATAGTGGCTGGAGTATTTTCACTATTTCGACAGATATCTGCATTACGAACACACATGCTCTTGTCTTGATTCATACTTTACTAGGCTCATGTTATTATCATGGATGAGGAAAAGAGGATTGTGTCAATCATTCACAAATCTTAAGAGAATAATTTTCACTTACATTTATGTTGGATGTATTTTTTTGCTTGACATTTAAGATTAATTTATGAGAAATTGATTAAAGACCTAGTTCAGGATTATTTAAGTAAACATTTCTTATCTATTTAGGCCATAATAATTTAATAATAATAATAAGAAATATAGCCTCATATACGTGCCTACTTCGTACCGGTAAATAGTGGACACTGTATAATGTTAAATAAATCCTTCTCCTAATTTCTCCTTCATAAGATTTCTTTTCCGATTAATTTCATGATTGGCTGCCTCCCTTGTATTGTTTTGATTGGTCAAAATGATTGATCTATCTAATCAATATACGTTTCTTTGTTTGAGCTTATATAATAATAATAATAGCAAATTATTACGATTAGCATTCACTTCATAGTTTACTTAAGTCAGATACATTGTATTGTTTTACTTGTCTAATTGTTCTACATTAATATAAGCGCTACTTGCATAATCTATAAGTGGAATTCAATGGTAGTTATTGAAATTCTAAACATTCTATTCCATAAATCGGTTATCAAAAAAATCTAACTACTGAAATGTGTTATTAGCTTTGTTTTAGCCCACAATCAGCGTTCAACTGATTCAGTACATTTTTAGGTATGACAAATACAAACTTTTTGAAATGAATTCCCACTCTCAAACAGATGCATATTTATAAATAAGCATCATAAACACACCTATACTTTTTTTTATAACATTTTTTGAAACCATGAATCGATCAATGTTAGACCACCATTAGAAACCTGGAAGCACTGGACGGCCGTTTCGTCCTGATATGGGACTCCTCAGCAGTGCGCATCCACGAATCCTGCAACCCGCAGGAGTCAGTTATTTGGATTGTGTAAATTCAACAATGTAGTTACAAAAAATCAAATAAATAGTCTGCTTGAATTGATTCAATCTGTTTTTTTTAATTTTTGGGCATGTTTGTGATGTTCACCCCATTTTGCCAGTTAAATTTGTCAAGTGTTTGTAGGTAATCGTTAGAAAGCTATAGGTCTTGTCAACAGTTTTCAAGGAATCGATACTCTATTGAATTGGTACCCCATTCATGTAGTGCTGCTGTGACAGTTACTTACTTTGCTAACTACTGAGCAAACTGAACCATAATGTTGAATCAATTAAACTAGTACTTACTTACTTACGCCTGTTACCCCCAATGGAGCATGGGCCGCCCACCAGTTTTCTCCAACCAACTCTGTCCTGGGCTTCTCTCTCCAGTTCTGTCCAATGTTTGTTCATTCCTCTCATATCTTTCTCTATTTCTCAGCGTAATGTGTTCCTTGGCCTTCCTCTTTTCCTTTTGCCTTGAGGGTTCCATGTGAGGGTTTGTCTCGTGACGCAGTTAGGTGCTTTCCGCAATGTGTGTGTCCTATCCACTTCCCCTGCTTCTTCGTGACTTCCTCCTCCACTGGAATCTGGTTTGTTCTCTCCCACAGTAAGTTGTTGCTGATTGTGTCTGGCCAACGAATCCGAAGTATTTTGCGAAGACAACTGCTAATAAACACTTGTATCTTCTGGATGATGCATTGAAAATCCTGATTTTGGTTTTGGTTGAAACTAGTAGCCATATTATATCGAGAAGATTTGATTAACTTGAACAATTTAACTACAGAAAACTGGTTACTATTAAAGGATCAGTAAATCTCTATTGACATGTATACAATCAAGATTTTCTATATGCATATTAAGTTGAATTTATTTTTATTTAAAAATAATATATTCTCTTCTTTATTTTCTTATCAAATATATATTCAGCAACTTGTAACATTACTACTTATTCGACAAATAATTGATTCTATTAAAGAGATTTTTTTGCCACTTGGTCAATCACGTTTACGACAAGTATGGTTATCATTAAAATATGAGCGGAGACGTTTAGCTGAACAAAATAAATTGAAATCTGAAAATAATATTAATAATAATAATAATAATAATGGTTCATTATCAACATCACCTAGTAAAACAAGTTTGAATATTGATCAATGTTCAATATCACCTGAGAATAATAGTCAAAATGCTAATAATAACAACAATGTTAGCATGGATGGTGATGTGAATTCGGAAATGCATATCCATCAACGAATACAAACAGTCAGTAATGACGAAAAATTACATAACAATTCAAAATCATTTGGTAAGATTGTCCTGTTTTATTTTTTTGTTTGTAATAATGTTGAAAATGTCTGTTTCAAATAAGCTACTTAATGTGTTATTTATAAATTGTAAAATAGTTTAGTTTTATGATGTTTGTAATCAATTGAATGAGTTAAAAAGAAAAAGTGTATCCAGTTCAAATTTATTTCTAAAACTAATGTAATCCATTAAAGATATGAAGATCAGCTACAAGTGATACACAGAAACTTTGTACTTTCAAGACATTCATTTCTCGTGTGGATTGAAATTCCACAAATTAAAATATGCTGTTGTATAAAGGTTATTTGCGAAATTCGTTACTTTAACTACAAATATAGTCAGAATGAATAGATTGGCCTTAAACTATTACACTTCATTGAATGTAGAATATATAAATCTTAAATGGTATATGTAAAAAATTACCAAAATTATTATCCTAAAGAGAAGCCTGTACAAGATTGCTAAATCAATCAATCAATAGCAACGTAGAACTTCGGACGTACGTACGTACTTACGTCAGTTGATGTTGCCATACCACATTAGCACAGAGATGTAATTGTCAATTCAAATCCCATAATAGTAATAGAGGTAGTAAAAGTATTATCAATAGTCGGAGAGATTGGGATTAGAAGATATTAATCAAGAAGTAGATTCGGGTGAAATAGACTTAAGAAGATAAAGATCAAGGTGATGAGGAATTAAGAAGGTTAGGATTTGAGAGAACACAAAGAATGCATGCACCTGCGCCATTGTAAATGGTTTTGAGCCATGTTATTCAGGGACAAGATTGCTAAATAAAATATTGGAATTAAATTCTCCTCGGTGAGATTATTTAAAATATAATTTTTGCATATAATCTCTTTTATACGTGTAGTGAACGAGAACACAGGTGGGGCAACCGGATTGTATTTAACGAAAATTACAGAGTTACTCAGTAAAATCGGAAAACCATATCGTAAACGGTTAATTTGCAAATCTTCAATCAATCATCAATCCATTGTCTGACATTTCACTTATTCATGCATTTCATACAAATTCCATTGTGCTCTAACTCTTCCTTTCTTGATCTTCCCCCATCTTCTGCTGCCAGACATAACGTTGACACTCACGTCATATACTACTTATAAGTAGCTCACACCACATACGCTCACGATTGAATTTCTATTAAACTATTTCCTCGATTATTAACAAATATTCATGTAAAATAGTTTAAAAGTCTAAAATAACTTATAATCAACAATTGAAACAAACAGTTAAACAGTGAAGCAACATAGCCAGACTATATGTCACATGCAAATATGTATCGATCAGATTAAGTATAACAGGTATGGAATATATAACAATATACAATATACATTTTCAGTGTAATACCAAAAAAGTTACTGACTTAACTTATGGAACAACCAGAAGGAAAAAAAGGGAACTTGTATCATTGATTCAATATTATTTTTTATTTGTGCATCATCATCTTATAAATTTTTGTTTAATTTTTTTTTCATTACATTAGATAATCCTGAAGATACACAAATAACACGTGCTGAAAGAGAAGCTACATTGTTACGCGTAAGTAATCAATATCAATTTTCTTACAATAAAAAGTGAATGTTTAAATTTCACCCTTGAAGTAATTATTGTTTGTCATTAAAGTTTTTACATGGAAATTGTCTGGCCAGCTCATTATTCATAAGGAAGTATATGTTTGGTGTAAAAAAGAGGTCAGTAACTTCGACCGCTCAAAAGAAGTCTTTATTTATTAAACTACAATTCAACGGAGGTATGGTGGCCTGCGATACTCAGCAGGACAGATTAATGAAAGTAATTAGTAGAACATTCAACGCAACCAAACTTGCGTTGACCTTCTCAAGTTAACCAGCGATGTCTACCCAAACGAAGGATAAGTTACCCAAGTTGGCCTCCTTTATGTTGTGGATTTACAAATTCAGCTTCTTCTGTGGACATAGCTATATCGGGCGTACCACCAGGCAACTTAACTAACGAATGAGTGAACATCTCCCAGCATGGTTTATGAAGGGCCAGTTAAAAACAATACGCAGTTCTATCTTAGCACATTGTATACCTCCATCATTTCCAAGTGGAGTTCGACCCCGTCTCCTACACATAGCAGAAATCATAGGAATTCGTGCATTCAACCCCAATTTATATGTTCAGAAGAATTTCGTGACACCCCTATTCTTCCGTGGCCGCTTATGACTTAACTAACGTTTAAAAACTTATATTCTTCACTATCTAATTATGTGCACACTTATTACGTAACGGTTTAATGTTTTGGAATGATTATTTCAAGTCGATGTATCCACGGTTGACCTACTATTGATAAAACTTTTGTTATCGTATTTTATATTTTTCTTACTGCTATCAGTACACCTGTCTTCCTACTATCAACTTGTACTTTTGCCAATTATGTGTAGTGACGTAATCTATTTCATTTCATTGTGATTATTGACTCAAATTGCCTTGATTGGTTTAACACTTTCATATCATTATTCATGTATATTAGAGTAAAGCCTAATGATGATCTAACTGAAAACAATATTGTTCGCTTATATGTGTTGTTCTAGCTTTGACAATGGGAATCCTTAATACAATATCTATCTGTTTTACACTTGTTTTGTAAATGCGATTTTATCTTATTTGCTTGTCTTCTAATTCGAATTATGCGAAATAGATTGGCAAACCGAGAATGGTTATGTCGATCGATAACAAATTCTCCAGATGCTTTCAAGTATTATTCAAGTTGAGTTCCATACCAGGACAAAACGGCTGTCCAGTACTTCCAGGATTCCAATGGTGGTCTAACAATGATTGACTGGTGATTTCAAATGTGCAACAAACATTAATCTTCATAACTCTAATTAAAAAATGAATATAGAACTGTCTGATTATGTGACTGTTGTACAACTAGACTTTATCAACTTCTGTTTCGAGATTTCCAGATTTATAACTAACCTTCAGACAAACACAAAATATACAACTCAAAGTTATGTATATGTGACCCTCAACTTGATTAATTCAACAATATTTATTCTTCACATTTTTACTGGTAAAAAGAAAATTCAACTGACACTATGAAATATTCATTCATCATCGAATTGGTTTGTCACTTTTTCTTCGTCTATACTATTTTCTTTATCGATTTTTAACACACAGTATGAAGATCCAACAGATGATTTTTTGGAAATGTTTATTCAATTCAGTTATGTGAGTATGTTTACTGGGATATTTCCATTAGCTGGTTTATTGGCTTTCATGAATAATATCATTGAAATACGCGGTGATGCTTATAAATTATCAACTAGTTATCAACGTCCATTTGGTAAATTCGCTAATAGTATCGGTATTTGGCAAGTAAGTATTGGTTGAATTCATTTGTTTTTCTCTTCAAATATTTATTTTGTACAAATTTACAAAGTTATTAATTATCATATTGTTGCGCATGCACGTAAACATGTCAATTCGATATGCTCAAATTATTACGAGTTTACCTTAGTTGGAAAACGAGAATGAGGATCGAGGATCCGGCGACACGACATGCTGCGCTAATCCCAGAATGCCAACCCCCATTGATATAAAAGAAGACTTGATATGAAGTAGAACCTGTATTCTACAAACATCCAGAAAGTACGAGGTCCGAGTCTAGAAGAGAATCAGGATCCCAGACAAATGAACCGAATCCCGGTCATTAAATGTTACAGATAATGCATATTTATACAGTTAGGTCGAATAGGAAAAGGCATCGAAGTCTGTGACATTGTCAGTTAAGACGACCAATAGGAAGTAATATTTGAAGTACATGACATTGATAGCTAGGACGACCATAATATTGACCAGTAGGAATTGACCAATAGAATTAGACTTCCAAAAATAATTCTCTTAGGATATTTGATGAATATATCCTATTCAAGATTCCACTGACTAATGTATTGTATCCTTATCACATTCAAATATTATACCATCTGATATTAATTATGACAGTGAAATCATGTAATTTTATTTATTGTACTTAAATTATTGTTCAATAAAATTTATATATGGAATACAAAAGTAGATTGTGATATTGATTGTTATCTTAAGACCACCTACCTACCTATGTGATCTTAACCATGATTGATCGAACAACTCACCGATTCGTCAGTTACCACACTGAATTAGCATAATATGAAGTTATAAGGAAAGAGGAATACTACCAAAGTACACATGATGAATAAATTACATTGATTATTTATAATAATTATTATTATTATTACTATACATTCCGTTTATACTATTATTCTCTCTCTCTAACTAACAACACTATATGCTTAAATAATACTTTTCATCTCAGTAGTATATGAGAATTGTTTTTTTCAAAATATTTTTCTATTCAACTAGTTAGCATTAAATGTTGTCAGCTATATAGCTGTCATTGTGAATATTGCTTTACTTGGTATATCTGGAACTGTACAACGTCTTTTCCCTAATTTCTCTACTTCACAATTGATTATTTTTCTTGTTTTCATTGAAGTAAGTGAGAGAGAGAAAAAAAATGTGTAAAAATTAGATAATTATTCTTGTGTTTTTTTTTGTTAAATAATAAATTTCTTCTGCACTGTGTTATTTTGTGATAGAATTTTCGAAATATATTTTGGCAATACTATTCAAGAAGTAGAATCTAGTGAAATAAACTTAAAAAGAAAAAGATAAAGTAATGAGGAATTAAGAAGTTTAGTATTTGAGAGAACATAAAGAATCAATGCACCTGCGCCATTGCAAACGGTTTTGAGTCATGTCGTTCAAGGTCTCTAACCACTGGTGACTTTCGTCTCGCAGACCCCAACCAGGTAGCCTACATCTACCGACATGACTCAGTCCACTTGTCAGCGACTTCATGGATTTCTGCCATGTTTTGATCTGGCCGCCCCTAGCTTTCGTCCAACCTATTCCTACATCGCAAAATATGGCTCGACGAGGCAGTCGGTGGTTAGGCATACGTAACACATGTCCCAACCACCTCAACTGATGAAGTTTTAATACTTCATCTATTGACCTGCCATCCTTAAATAACACGTTTCCTAATAACAGCATTGCTTACGCGGTTGTCCCATGATACACGAGCAATGCTTCGGAGACACCTGTGACCGAAAACAAGCAACCTAGGAATATCCTTTACTCTGACTGGCCATGTTTCACAGCCATAAAGTAGGGCAGAGCGAACTACTGCTTAGTACACTCGTCCTTTAGTCAGCAAACGGAAATCTCACCTACGCGATAATGTTCGATGTGATTTATTCTATGGAATAAGTCGAGTATTCAATGACATAATTTATACCATCTTAGATTACACTGATGAGGTTGTGAATAGAGAACAATTATTGATGTTGTTTTAATGTAAGCAACAGTATAATATGGACGTAAGCATACATTAGTAACCATGCCGACGCCGACATTGTGTTAGAATATCTAAATATCCTAAACTGTTTACAATTATAGTATTGAAAATGAAACAACTGTTTATTTGAACAATTTTCAATACCAATTTACCGATGAAATAAATGCAACAATAGTGCGTTATTAACAGAAATCATATTACTTTTTGTAATAAATAATACTTTCTTCCTCTCTAAACGTAAAATATTGCTTCAGGATTGGCTTGTGTCGGCGCCTGAACTAGTGGTAGTGAGTTAGGCGGTTGAGCATGTTTATCGCTTCACTTATCTTGGGAGTCTCATCGGTTCTGATGGCTTGGTGACTGACGAAATCTCAGAACGAATACAGAAAGCCCGACCTGCTTTTGTCAACCTGCATCACTTGTGGCGTTGGCGAAATATCCGTCTGCTAAACAACGGACGAGTTTAATATGCATCAGTTCACTCCGTTCTACTTTACGGATGTAAAACATAGCCAGTAAGAGCAGAGGATATTTGTACCCTACTAGTATACGATCATAAGTGTCTTAGAAGCATTACTCGTATAGCTTGGGACAGTCGGGTAAGCAGTGCTGTTATTAGGAAACGGGTACTAGATGAAGTATTGAAACTTCATCAGTTGAGATGGTTGGTACATGTGTTACGTATGTCTAACCACTGACTGCTTCGACAAGTGATGTTTTGTGATATAGGAGCAAGCTGGAAAAAAGCAAGGGGAGGCCAAAACGAAACACAGCAAAAATCCATAAAGTCACTGACAAATGGACTGTGCGATTTTGTTTGGTACAGACTATCTGGTTGGGGTCCTCAAGACAAAATGGTAACCAATGGTTAGCGACTTTGAATGGCACGGCTCAAATTCGCTTTTAATGGCGCAGATACATTCATTTCTCGTCTTCTCAAATTCTAGCCTCCTGAACTTTTTCCTTTTTTTAAATTGATTCCACTGGGATACGCTCCTCGAATCATCTCCTGGACTCCTAATCAGTTCGATCACAACTATTACTGCCACTACTTCTACAATTATGGGATTGAATTTAAATTCCAACTTGTTGACATTTACACATGAAAATGTTTATTCTCAAATGTAGGTTAATAGAAAAAAAAGCTGGACTTCTTACTTAAAAAATTTATGCGAATCAATGGGAGATTAGAATTGTTTGTAGCTAATGAGGTTTAATTTTGTAGATTATTCAACTAGTACTGTACTAAGCAGCTGCTATCTTATTGGATCCCTTGAATTTAATCATTCACTGAGTAAATCACGTATGAATAGCGTTTTATGAAACATTACAACATAGCAATGTGTATTAATAGAGGATCACATTATTTTTCACAGAATAACTTAGTTATTGTTTTTAATATGCAGTAATATTCTGTTCATAATTCTCTCCTCTTCTTCTTATTAGCATGCAATAATCATTACACGTGCTGCAATCAGCGCACTTGTCCCACATACGCCTACTTCGGTTGTACATCAGATAGCTAAATTAGAGCATCGTAGACGAGAAGCTCTTAAGGTAATTCACTGCATTAACAATGTTGTCAATTTATTTACTCTTTGGTGTATACTACGAGTGTTGTTTAAATTTATCTACTAAAAATTCATTTCTGCATAATCTAAGCTTGTTCAAATTCAGTTACTAATCAAACAACTTTGCTGGTAACTATTCCAGTTATGTTAATTTCAAGTTTCATTAATGCCATGAGTTACTGTTGGAACTGGAAACATATAATGTACGAATATATCCCAGCTATAAATAAGTTCTAATTAAGCTTCTTATTAACTAATAATACTAGCAATTAAGCACGTTTTACGCTTGAGTTTTTTTTTTAATCTACTACGCCCATTCAACAGAACTTATTCTACGAGATATTTTATTATTGCAGCTAACCTAGAAAAAAGTATTGATAATCCTATGTTAATATATAAATAGAAAAACTGTATGGTTCCTAGATCAAGAGATTATACAAATCTATACACGAACAGAACTGATACATACCCATTGGTTATGTGAATACAGTATGATATTTACAGAAAGGAAAATTAACAAAACTTATCCTTCAACCTATCAATATTCAATCTGAAATTAGACATCGTATAACATCTCATTGTTTAACTGCATTGGAATGCCTGACAGTAGAACTAGTTCGGAAAATAAATAAATGAATGATAAAATAACTGTATAATTGAATCCAAACAATTGCCAAACACCTAGTTAAGTTGAATGAATATTCGCACTTCAGTTTAGACAGGTGGATGATACCATCAGTACAGCTTTTTTTAAACCTAAGGTGTCATATTTTTAAACAATTTTTAATATCAAATCATAAAGTTTTTGTTGTTGTTGCTCTACTAACACTTCAGATACTTGAACGCGAATCAATGCGTGAACATCAACGTCAACAATCACCTTCTAATATATAATATAAGAAAGAATTTTACAATAAAATATGTATAAAGAATTCATATATAAATAATATTTACTTCATTTTGATTTGATCTATACAATTAACCTGAGAAAAGAAAAATGTATTTCATTTTTTATTAAACGGTACATTGTGTAAATGGCATAATGAATGTTTGCTACTATACTTTACTTGTCCTCAATTTATTACCAGCTTCATTTACCGTGGTTTTTTTCTCTTCTTCTACTTCTTCTTCTTGATAATGTGATATTTATCTTTATATTTTTAAAACAAAACCCATATTTTATCCGTTTCCAAATACAGATTGTTTATTAAATAATAGATCTTTTAAGGAAAAGTTACAGAATGTCATTTCAGTGTACGTTTTTAGTTGACAAAGCATTTTTTTAAGTGATCTAGTCATTTTAAAATGCAATTAATGAATCTCTTAAACCAACTTGTATCAGAAGTTGAATAAAATTGTCAATCTACGGATACAACTACATAAGTCTTGTCATACTGGACGATAGGTGTACAGATTAGTGGTTGATATAATTTTCATCTACAACTTAGTGATGACTGAACTGTCGACCTAACTTAAATGTAGCCACCAGTCTAAGTAACTTATTATTCTGATTTTTAGGTGGTTGGTGGTAGTCGGTAGGAAACCCTGGATCGGTTTCATATTAGACACGTCAACATGCCAGGTTTTTAATTTTGAAGGGACGGGTGGATTTGAATTCAGGTCACACACTGATGTGACCTACAAAATTATCCGTATACCTTAATAGAACTAAGAGCTCATCCCATCGATGTTAGGCCCCTATCGACAGATTATCGCCATATTTTGCACCCCAACCATATAGCCTACATACATTTTCACAGCTTAAATCAACGACCAGTGAGTTTATAAAAAGACGCCTTTTATTTGCCCAGTGACTGAAAAATACAATAGATGGCCGTTGGGGATCGAATCTACACGAATTTCACGTGTATTTGGTTTGTAGTATCAGGCTCCTAGGACATATATATCGTTAGATTTAATCCTCCCGTACTGATCTTTGCAATATGTCTCTTACTTTATACCTTTAGTGACAATCCTGTTTATCCTGATAACCATTCTTATTTACTGAATAAAATTTGGCAAAACAAATAACGATAGAATTCTGAAATGATTGGACTGGGTTTATTGTATTGTACAGAAAAAGCAAATATACAGAAATCATGCTTTATACAACTTATAATCACGCCATATTTTCCTGACGAGTTATTTGAAAGTTTATGTTTGGAATGGTAAAATGGTTTGTCATATAAAATGAAACATCACACCCATCTACCATGCACAGAAGAACAGATGTTTCAGGCTGCAAGCCGACTTTTCTCAAGCTTTGAGATTCTATGTTCGGAAATATTTGTTGAGGTGACAAAACGGATAGAACATAATCAGGATGAGGAGGGGAGCGTTTAGAGAAATTGATAATACGTTGTTTTTCTGCATGATTGTTTCCATAAATATCATACAGTAGATTTAAATCATCCGTTGATTTAATAGACTTATCATTAGTAGGTTGTATAATCTCTTGCAAATTATACATAAGACTAGTGATAGAATGTATTGTATTACAATTAACGAGTGGTTTAAAGTCCTTGGACCTCCCATTCCTGACATGTTTTATGTGTTTTTGGTCTAAAAGTTGGTATGTCAGAACTGAAATGTTAATTGATTTTGGGATTTTAAATAATTTATTTGTCATACTATGATAATTTGATTGTAGGTCAAAATTTGCTCGTTTTCGAAGAATAAAATTCAATCGTGATAATCGACAGTAAGCCAGATAGTGTGGATATGTTTGATTGTTCAAGAGCTGATCGTAAAGTTCTTGAATACTCAGTGGTAGACCACTAACAAGTACTTGAATCTTATTACATTCGGCAAGGTATAGTGCTTCTTCTGGATGAAGATACGATGAACCATCAAAAGAGAAACCCATTACACGGAAATACTTCCCACATATTTGTGTAAGGCGAACTCGACCACTTTCGATGACACCTTTGGATAGGCGTGCTGAAGCACGAGTAAACTCTTGAGATAAAACTGACAGCAGTTCCGAATAAGCCCTTTCAATTTCATTTTCTGAAGCTGTTTCGAACAAACGTTTACGTTTACATTTTTCTGATTTATCTTCATAAGAAATATCAGAATGTACAGATAATGTTTTGCCAATCAGAAAACGTTCCTAAATCATAATACGGTTTGATTTACGCAATAAGATCATACCATAGTGACCGATCCGGAGAAACGAGACGTTGAAGAAAAATGCTAAAACCAAAAGATTCAACTTTAGAATTACCAAACAATATATGTACTAAACTAAGAAAATACGCATATAAGCGAACAGTATTGTTTTCTATCACATCGTCATCAGGCTTTACTCTAGTATACATGAATATTTATATGAAAATGTTAAACCAACCAAGGCAATTTGAGTCAATAATAACAATGAAATAGAGAACACGATCTTAATCTGGAGCATAGCTTCGTGGGTATTACAAGCAGGAATCATAAGCTTAAGGCAGAACTCCTTAAAGAAAATATATTAATTTAAGATCGTTCATTCGTAAGTTTTTCATCTGAGCTGCAATTAATGCGGGCGTAGACAACCGTGTGCCTCTATTTTTCCGAGTTCTTACAGTCCGGGCGAGTCGGACAGCGCGTAGGCGAATGTCATCTGAAACAAAGTCTCAGAGAGCCGCTTCTACCTTTGAACTTAATGCTGTCTACACTAGCAAGACCTTGGAAAGTAGCAGTAGGTTCTCCTAAACTATGAAGAGTAGATTTTATAATTTCCTTATATCTACAAGGTGAAATCAAATGAGTGACTGAACTTGGATGCGATATGTACATTTCAAAGGCTCATTACATAACAATGGCACCAGACCCTAGTCTAAAGAAGCCTGTTGTCCTATCTGGCACAATGTTTGAACATTTCAAGCCCCGACATGTATTTAAGAGCGTGGTCTCAGGAGACAAGGAATAACATTTCGCGAACTCGAATCATTATTTTAGTGGTATGAGGGGATAAAGCTATGCGAAAAGGGTTAGTCGTGGAGACAAAACTATTAACAGATGAGGGAGGGATTTGAGAGAGAGCAGGATGATCGTGGTGGCTGTTAGAGATGAGAGAGGTTGACACTTCGCGACTGCCCACACCGTAGAAAGGTATTTCCTATAAAGGAATATGTAAAAGGAGCTGCGTTAATGTTAGTCTTGGTGACCTGGGAGTGTGACCATAAAGCCCAAGTCTTTCTGTGGGAAGCTTTTGGTGTGTTAGCTCCGCACTTAAAATGTCTTACCACCATGGACAGTAATCCATTGGGTAAGGTGAGGTGTAACATTTTAAGTATTGACCTTTCCTAACCCCTTCCTCCTTCTGTGAGAAGGTAGTATTATTTTGTTTGTCTGAAGGAAACACCTTACAACTGTCACATTGAACTGTTGCGTTTAGTCTTACTGCTTTCCAACAGACTTGCCTGGCATAGTAGAACCTGTAAGAACATGTATTCCAGCCAAAATAACTCGGTTGAGTCATCACGACAGACAAGCTCGACCAGCATGTTTAAGTAACAGCCTTGTAAGGTTGATACTTGCCACAAATGATTTATTTAAAATACAAGTGGTATATTCCATATGTTTACTTGATCTGGACTTTCTAAGAGCATGTATTTTTGAATTTTTGTCCTGCTCGATTGATTTAATATCACATAAACCGGTCAAACGTGGAAACTAACCTTAAACCTTCCACAATTTATATTCTCTATGAACTACGTATTGAGTGATACCCGTGACCGTTACACTATTGCAAAAAAAGTAAAACAATTATTTCTCCGTTTTACTATCTACCGATGCGACTACCAGTGCTTAGTAAGTATCGCGTTTGCGTTAAAACTGGAAAGTACAACGTAGTGAACTAAAGTAATCCTTTATCCTCAAACTTCAAAACAGAGCGAAAGCAAGTCTGCGGATGCTCGAATAAAAATTATGAACACATAACGCTTGGAGTAGGACAGGGAAGTTTACATGTATCTTAGACGATATTGAAACTAACCATAAACTAAACTATTTGCATAGGTTGTACAGAAAAATCGTTCGTCGAACACGTTTCCTCTAATCATACTAACTACCACGCAGAAAAGCGTCAAAGATTTACCCTAGCATTATACGTTCACTGATTGCTTTTTATAACGCATAAGACGGAGGAATTCCAATCTCAAGATAACAGGCATAATATACAAATACTTCAACAGATGGTTTAAACTGACACCCCATATTGTTCGGTACACTATATGGCAATGACCAGTTATTTAGCTCTGAATCATTAAATAGAAACCAGTTTATTCATATCACAAACTAACAGGTTCGTAGTCGAATTCTGAAGGACAACACTTTACCGTGATCACAGTGATGAAAAAAGATGTTAAAACAACACTATCCTCTGAATCAGGAAGACTCTATTTGACATAAATCTCGTAAATCACAATTTTCATCAAGATATTTCGCAAACTAATATCTCCAGATTTCCTGGAAATTTCTATTGCACCTGTCACTATTTTGGCCTGAGCTTACTTCCTCATAAGGTTGAGTTTTTAGGCTATTAGGTCGAATTTTCTAAACGATTCTGCGATGGGGTGTGACAGACCACGAAGATATTTCCTCAGCGAAATCAAAAGTATTGAAAATACGAAAGTCCTACTGAAAATATCCTAGAAAATTTAGAAAAGCAGTTTCCCGAAACTTAACTATAAACCGAATTTGAAGATCACCTCAAATCTAAACATTAGAGTTACTTTGGGATATTTAGGAAGCCTAAATTAGCAGCACTTAGTCTAAAGATATTTGTTTGGTGGAATAAAAAGCTGAGATCGAGGGTCTTCTCGGTACTTGCAAAAAATAACACTAGGTACAGACTAAATGTTGTTTATTTAAAAGCAAATGAGCTTAGCCAACACAGCGAGTCTACAGAAAGTCATCTTCCGTTTAAAAATTATTAAGACATAGGTGAAATTAGTTATCTTTAATTTTGATTACAAGGATGAGCGATAATACTCTATGAGAAGGATAGGTACAAAAATGCGTACGGCCAACACACCTTTATTTACCATTGTATGACCTTGGGTTCCAATATCAATATCCAATATCTTTTACACTAGTTAATGTAAGCCAATTGATTTCTTTGTGCTCGATTTTGTTCTCTCGGTACGGTTCTAGATGTTTGGTAGTATCCAGTGAATGAGGGTCTAGCTACTTGACTATCTAATTCTAGTCAGCTGGCAGTTGTTTGTGAGTTTGCATGTTCTGTGATTTGTATGAAAACATTTGTTTCAGGGCACTTGGGTTTCTGGATATCAGCAGGTATCATATTACTAAACCTGAGATCAGTTAGTTGCAATAATGCAGATTATAAGCAAAAAATTCCAATGCTATTAAGAGGATTTCAAAATTAAGTAAATAGTGGATAACATAGTATATAATTGGTAGTGAAAATTTTGCGTGAAATGTAAGCGAAGGCAAGAAAACAGAGATAATGGACGAGATAGAATAATTGAGTGATCTGAGGAGATGGCAGTGATAACAACTAGTAGGTCTCAAGATATGCATCGTGGACAGCTTGTCCAAAAGGGAGATGATAATCCGTATACGAGTACGTCATTATCAAGTCTCTTCTTAAAGCTGTCAACTGTGGGGGGGGGTTGTGGTCAACTCAGCTGACAGAGCGCTCCAAGTTGCGACGACTTGCAATGAGAAAAATTGTGCACGAATCTGAGTATTCTCACTTTGATGTGCAATCGTTGGAGGATTCCCTTGAGGGGACTGGTGGTGATGCAGCAGTAAGAAGCTCATGTTGAGGTGGTTTGGCGTGCTTAGTATGTTGTACGCCCGCTCGAGGAGCTAGTAAAAACCGATTGATTGCTTTGCGCTCGATTCTTGCTCGTTCAGTACAGTTTCAGATAAGTGGTACCTTCCAATGGATGGCATTCTATCTACCTGATTGCCCTAATTCTAGTCATTTGGCAGTTATTAATAAATTTCTATGTCCCGTTATTTGAGTGAGTGCGTTTCTCTTGGGGTGATGGAATTTCTGCATACTAAGCAGAAGATCGAATAATCGCAATGTTGATGACAATTAGGAAGACATTCTTATACTAATGAGAAAAAGATTTCAGAACTAAGTAATTAAAAAGGAAATTACTGGGAGTGAAGTGTAGGAGAAAATGAGTAAAACGGAGATAACATTAATAAACGAGACAGAATAAGTTTGTGATCTGACGAAATTACACTGATGACGACTTGAATGTTTCGGGACATGCATCTGGAATAACACATATAAGCAAGCAATATGGTTTTCAATTAGTTCGTCATCAGGCTTCACTCTAATATTCATGAAAATTCGTTTGAAAATGTTAAACTAATCAAGGCAACTTGAGTCAATAATAGCAATAAGATAGATTACATCACTATACATAATAGGTGAAGGTACGAGTTGATAGTAAGAAAACAGGTGCACTGTTAGTAGTAGGAATAACAATATACGATAATAAAAGTTTTATCAATAGTTCAGCGTTGAAAATATGGGGTCAAACGTGGATGAACACACGTAAAAAAATGATCACTTTAAAAAATAAAGCCATTTCGTTACAGAAAGTGTGTGAATGATTAGGTAGTAAAGAATCTAAACAGAAAGAAGCGAAAAATTACGGACAAATACGAGACTTGGAAATAATGCTAACAGTACTAGAAATGAAATACAAATACAAGAATTTTATGTAACGTTTTTTAAGTTATATGCAGCCACGAAAGGGATAGGGTTGTTACGAATATCTTCTAAACATATAAATTGGGGTTGAATGTACGAATTCCTATGGCTTCTGCAACATGCGGCAGACAGGATCGAATTTAGAAGGGAGATGATGGAAGTATGAGATAGACTACCTGAAATGATTCAGATTTATCTACATTATAACCACTATCAGTCAGATGTGCCAAGATAGGACTGTGTACTGTTTCTATTTGGCCCTTCATAAACCATACTGGGAGATGTTCACTGATTCGTTGGTTAAGTTGCCTGGTAGTACTTCCAATATGGCTATCTCCGCAAGAGCAGCCGAATTTGTTACTGCGAATTGAGCAGGCCAACTGAAGTAACTTATGCTTCATTTGAGTAGATATCGCTGGTCGATTCGAGAGGTTCAATGGAAGTTTGGCTGCGTAAAATGTCCTACTGATTACTTTCGTCAATCTGTCGTGCAGCGTTCCTCTAGCCACATCCCCTTTGAGTTGTTATTTAATAAACAGAGGCTTCTTTCTAACGTTCGAAGTCTCCGACTTCTTTGCAACATAATATGTTTTCTAAGAAAGCGCTACGTTAGTCGATGTCAGTCAGCGAGTTGTGGATTACTTTCAACTCCTAACTTAATGTATCCACTAAATAGATAATTTTTGCTTTGCTTGTGAGACATCTAACCAATTTTCTTTTGTAACAGATACGTGTAAAACTATAGAAACAAGCATATTGGCAAGTAGAGATGCTTTTTTTACACGCTTCCATTTAACGAGCCATCACTTCGCCTGCTTAGTTTGACGACAAGAAAATTCAAACTTCTGGTCACGTTCGTCTTCACCAGTGAGAGTGAATGCCAAGTGTACACTGTTGAATTGTTCTATGAGTTTTTCTTTACTGGTGTCCTGATCTACAGTAATGAATGTGTCACTAATGTAGTGGCATTATAGATCAAGCTTCTTAATAGCCTCGTTAAGTGGGCCATTTTCTAGATTTACTAGGAAGAGAGCCTCTAGAATTGGGCCTAGATGTAAGCAGTCTATTTGTCTATAATAAGTATCGTTGAAAACAAAATAGACGTTTGGCGTACATCTTAAGAGAAGTTTTTTAAATTGTCCTCTAGCAAGCCTTTTCTAATACCATAAACTAAGTAGTCTCAATAAGCTTAGCGTAAGTAAACAAAGATACGATATCCATTGAGGTCATACTTTTCACACTAGCATTTATATTTTACACTTTGGTAGTCAAGACGAAAACGTTTTTCGCACTCCTTCCTACAGCAGATTTTCGCAAAGGCTCTAAGTTTCGCACTACCCACTTTGCAGTTTTGTGGTACGGAGAATTGTGCATGTCTAGAACTTGGTGCAGAATAAGGCCTGACTTACAGATCTTTGTCAAACCGTACAGTCGTGGCGTATTTGATCTAGTCGGATTAATTGAGTTATGTATCTCTGACGTAACTATTCCGTTTTTCTTTCGTTCCCTAGGAGAATTCAACAACCTTTTTTCTGACTTTTTACGATGTCATTGTTACTAGTAACTTTCTGAAACTCGTTAGGACCTCTAGGCATCGCTCCCAGTTTATGCATGTAGTCGGTTTTCTTCATCAGAACTATACCTCCCCTCTTATCGGGTTTGCTTATGATTAAGGTTTCATCTTATCTTAGTCTTGTTAAGGCGTTTCGGTACTGCTTGGTTGCATCTGGCACAGCTGATTCGTATATGGCTGAGTTTTTATCAACTCCCTTTTAGAAGCCATCCACTGAGGAGGCTGTGGTCACTTTGGCCAGAAAAATGTTTCAAGTTGGAACAGTCCTTCGTGAGAAAATATGGGCGCGTTCCTGGCAGTTAGCTGCCTACGCGTGACTGCTTGAACCATGCAACGCAGGTGAAAGGTAGGCAGCGCTTTCCCAGTAATCAGTCCTCGATAACGCCACAAATATCGTTACAAATCCAGCTTCCTATATGGTCAAAACAGTCACGTTGGCCCCATATGACGTAATTAATCATAAATCCCTATATAGGTAAGTTTACAGATGAAAGTAACCTGACCGCAAAGAAGAGGATTGGTAGTGAGCTCTGAAATATTTGAGTCGATTGATTCAGCAGCATCCCATATAAACGCTTAGAAACGTATTTAAAACTAAAAACTCAGATGCCTTTACCAGCTCCGAAACATAGATAACTTCAGGAGTATACTAAAATGAAATTTGACTGCTTAGTGTTCTGCTTTTTAAAGCTAACAGACTGAAATTTATTTGTTGTCTGGTTATTCGATACTTCGTGTGGCTTGCACAGTGGCGAATCGTTCAGAGGCATGCTAATCGGAGCTTTGAACTCACGCTGTGTCCATGGTGATGGCAATAATTCGGGATGATCTTCACCACATAGCCATCTCTGAAAAAAAGGCTAGACGCGAAACGGAAATTATCAACCTGTCTACCAACCGTAGATTTTGTTCGAGACGTCGTACTAATGGTTCTTACTGATTGAAACAAAAGAAAGTTGGAATACTGGACGTATTACTTCTTAAAATTCCGGGAGAAACTGTACCATTATTGATTCCCCACTAGCGATGATATTGAAGATGTCACTTGGTCGAGATCAGTTACCTCGGAAAATGTGGCGAATCAACACAACTTCCAGCCAAATACGACCTGTGTTGTAGTTAAATTACTGGAAAGAACGATCAAAACAGCCCTCTTGGCAATCTTGTTAACCAAAAGCCTGTTAAACAGCGAGCAAGATGGATTCAAGGAAGATTTATCGCGGACGCAGGACCGTATGGTAGGATAGAGATAAACGAAGTCACTAGATGGTTGAAAGTCAGTTGGTGTCGTCAAAATGGCTCCAAAAAGTCATCAGTAAGATGCCGTATAACAGGCTCCTCTTGAAAATAGTAAATTCGGAAATTAGCGGAGCTCTTCCTAAGTGGATCACAAATTTCTTGTTGGGCCATTGGCAGACGGTAAGCATAATTTCCTAATGCTATTCAAGGAAACTACTACTTAGTGGAGTACCGCCAGGTTCTCTTTCTGATCCTTTAATATGCATCATGGACAGCTTGTCCAAAAGGGAGATGATAATCCGTATACGAGTACGTCATTATCAAGTCTCTTCTTAAAGCTGTCAACTGTGGGGGGGGGTTGTGGTCAACTCAGCTGACAGAGCACTCCAAGTTGCGACGACTTGCAATGAGAAAAATTGTGCACGAATCTGAGTATTCTCACTTTGATGTGCAATCGTTGGAGGATTCCCTTGAGGGGACTGGTGGTGATGCAGCAGTAAGAAGCTCATGTTGAGGTGGTTTGGCGTGCCTAATATTTTGTATGCCATAATCAGATCACCTCTGATTCTCCTGTCACTCAGGCTTATAATCATAAGTGTCGGAGTCTATCTTCGTACGGTTTTTTCTTCAACCCTATTACCCTTTCTTTGCTCGTCTCTGTACTCGATCCAGGCGATTTATGTCTTTTTAAAGCAGAGGAAGTGCGACGGCGTTGTGAACCTCCAGGTGTGGGCGCGCATATGTTTTAATTTGAGGAATCATTCTGTGATGATAGCACCAAGTCGTTTTCGCATAAAGTGAGGAGTCGCACTTAACTTGGCTGCGTCCCCTATATAGTTCAGGCTTGAGTGAACGCTTTCAGTGGTTATTAAACCGAGATCACGTTCTGAGGAGACATTAGGGAGCCGACTTCCGTTAAGTGTGTCAATCGATTGGGTTTGTGGAGCAGAATATACATGACGTGACATTTCGGCTGGTTCGGTTTTAAACCGTCTATCATTGCCTATTCCACAATTGATGTAAGGTCCTTTTGATGCTTAGTCGAATCCCCTTATCTTCTAATACACCTCCAAATCTTCGCATCGTCTGCGTAGGTCAGTGCCAGTGAGCTAACTGTGTCTAACAGGTCGTTAATCAATATCAGGAAGAGAAGTGGACGTAAGATGTTCCCTAATGAAACTCCTGATGTGGATACTCGCCAGCTCGCGTGCACCCCATTTACCTTGGTGTGAAGCCTTCTATTCACAAGGTAGTTCTGATACAAGATACATGTGTGTCAGTGAAGCCCATTTCCACAATATTTGCGATTAGGCGTGCGTGGAGTACTGTGTCGAAGGCTTTTGCATAGTCGAAAAAAATTACGTGCACTGGTATTTTTCCGTACATGCAGGACGTCAAACTGTCCCACGCTATGGGAAGATTGGATGCGCACGGCCTTTTCAAAACCTGAGATGAGCTTCAGGGAGTATTTTATTCTTATCCCTGTAGTCCCTCATTTTTCCGTTCAACAGACATTCTATTAGAGAGAGAATAGCTTGTTTCCATTTGTCTGGGAGTTGGTGTCACTGCAGTGAATACCTTAACAAGCCACATATCGGTGAACAGAGGGCTTCTGTACACTGTTTAAAGACGAACATTGTCACAAGCTTGCGACTTTCCTAGGGGCAACGGTTACAGTTTACTTAGTACTAAGTCAGAAGTAATACGGATATTCCCTAAGTCGTCAACTGTCACCGGGCTTGCGTAGTACTCTGAACATATGGATGCTTGGTTCAACTGCTCAGTGAAGTTTATGTCAAAGATCTCGGCCATCTCTAGGTTGGTGAGGTCTTCTCCATTCGGACCTTTGAGAGAACACAAACAATGATTCGTAGGTTTTCTTTTAGTCACGAATGTAGTGCTTTTAGAGTGGCTTCTGCATTTAGAAGAACAATTCTAGAAGTTTAGATACGCGCCTTTCCCGGATATCCAAAATGAAAAGCAATTTATCTGGGTAAGAAACAGTTCTATTATTAATTAAAAGGTGCATACAATTACCTAAACAATATTACACCCCTCTCTTCCAAATTGAACACAGTTTGTTTCCATTTCTGGAATAATGCTTCCGTATAGGTCCAAAATTGCACCTTTCCAGTCCAGATTCATGCTTCACCCACCAGGGTATCAAATCCGATATGGCTGACGCCATAATTAAGTATCGATTCAAACAGCATAATGCAGTTCAGTAGAAGGCATAGAAACTATAAAAAACACAAATAATAACATCACAAAATGGGATTAAATAGAATACCGAAATGTGGCACAGAAAGAGTCAGTAAGAACATAATACACATATAAACATGAAGGGATTTTCCCGAAACAAAGACTTGAAAACGGATTCTACAATGAACCTAAATAAACGCTTAGGGTTTGCCCGTATTTTGGCAGCTACTTTCATCTGAACGCATCTTGTATCACTTCGAAATTTGGTATTGCATCTGTTTCTCAATGCCGAGTAAGAACTACGGTCAGAATCTTTCAAGCAGACATTCCACCTGTGCCAGGCTCTCCTCTTCGCCTGTAGCAAGCATTCAGTGCCGCCTTAACCTACTGTCTTCTATTTCCGAGTGTGTGGTGTAGCTGAGGTACATTGCTAAGGATAGCATTCTTGATGATGTCTCTCACTGTTTGCCAGTAATCATCTACCGTCAGCCTCAACCACTCCCGTGGCCATGAGGCATGTAGGAGAATCTCTCTCATAAGCGTATAATTTGGCCTAGTGTAGCAAAGATAGGGCTTGTGTTCGTCCTCTGTGAGTGTTTTGTTTGTGACCATTTTAACCGAAACTATGCCATGGTCACCACTTCTTATTTGTGTATGGTCTTGAACGTCCTCGACCAGGAGCTGATCATTTCTTAACAAATAATCCAGGTTGTAGGACTTTCTTTCCCTAGCCCATCTAGTAGCACTGCATACGTGTTCAATAAGCTCCGAGATTATAATGGCTACGCAAAGACTTCTATGGAACTAACCAGATTGCTAGGATTGGGTATTGAAATATCTGGGGTAGAGTATTCTATCAAACCCAAGGAGTGGCAGTTGCAGTATAACCTCAATCAGTTTGTCTTTCTGGGCCTTAGTACCTGAGATAGGCCGGTTTATTCCTCCAATCTAGTATTTCGTGCCATTTGTTTGGAAAAAACAACAACATGATTCTGTCACCTCAGTTAGTTGGGTGTCGTACAGCCGCCCGGCTTATAAGTGGCTGTTTATATATATAGCCACTCCGCCTCCTATTTGGTGTACCTAATCGTTTAGGAAGAGTGTCATGCCATGCAAGCTCAATTCATCGTCTGCAATGTCAGAGGATAGCAATGTATCAGCTAGGATCATGATCTGCAGATCCATCTGAGAGCACAAATTCCTGATTTCTAACAGCCCACCCCTTAGTCCTCTTACGCTGCTAGTGAGGCACTTGGCAGTTTGTCTTAGCGCCTGGTGCACTTCTGCAGCAACAGCCATTGTCGGATTTTCAAACAAGTTGTTCAAACCGAGATGGCCGGTTCTGTGGGAACTGGCTAAGACAAAATTATGGACTCGAGATTTACGATATATTAGGTGGTAAATATTAGGTTGTTTATTTTGAGTAATAATATCACCTATTCTTGTTTATGTGTATCGATAACTGAGGAGAGAACAATGACCTTTACCCAATACTTGTCCATGTTCGCTGTTTCCGCGTCTTCTCTATTGGTTTCCGTCATTATACATGCTTTAGTAGACAAAATTGCAAAATTTTCAAACCCTTTTCGTCACGAGCTAAACGAGAGTCGAGAATCAAAGCCAAAATATGTTCAAAGACAGTGTTTTATCTGGCAAAATACGTGTGTATCTCTTGTACACGCTATCGTGTCAGGTATATGGTCTTTGTCAACGTAAGTATCTAAATTTATAATGCAGCCGTAAAAGGTTTTACATTGAACCTGATTTCCTCATAGACTTAATAAATCTGTCTACATGGAGATCTATTTCGCTTGTATCCTACTCTCTTGGTAGATATAGCTTGTTTTTAAATATGCTTCAGGTTACTTCATCTTCGATTCATTTCATATGGTTATATTACACCCTTTTCGGTCTACGGCTGAGTTGTTGGTGCATCATTTTGTCGTAAGCATATTTATTTAAAATTATTAGTAGATATTTTTGTGCTTCTCATCTGCATTACTATCCGGGAAATATATAGGTTATGCAGTTGTTTCACTTCTTCCTGAAGTTAACTCAATCTTCTTGCACCTGCGGAGAATGATGAATTATCTTCACGTACCCAAGAAAAACCGCTTCTTTCGTGCAACTTGTCTGTTAAACATTGGTAAGTTTACGCTGTGAAGTAGATCGGAATTTCTCTTTAATTTGACTTTCAAAATTAGTGTAAGTAGTGACTCTTTCTTTGGCTTTTACCGGATACTGCATAGGTAAAAACAAAATTTCAGACAAAGTTCCAAACAGATTGCTGTTTTTGATTTTAGGGAATACTTAGAAGACTCAACTGTTCTACTAATCACTTGAGATTTAATATCTAGCATTTGATTACGGAACACCAAAATCGCTCCGCCACTACTTATTTGTCGTAAAATGGTGGTGCAGCATACTCGTGAAGCTTTTGTGGTGCTTAATGCGGTGTCTAAACTAAAACTTCGCCTCTAAGTTAATATGTTTTAATGGACTGAGCCATGTTGGTAGATGTAAACTACCTGGTTGGGGTCCGCGAAACAATAGTAACCGATGGTTAGAGACCATGGATGACATGACTCAAAATCGTTTGCAATGGCACAGGTGTATCCATTCTTTGTCTTCTCTCAAATTGTAATCTTCTGAGTTTCTCACCACCCTTATCTTTCTCTTCCCTACTTTATCTCGCCGAATAATACTTCTTGAGTAATATCTTCGAACCCTTATATTCTCCATTGCCGCTAATATTCCCACTACATCTACCCCTATGAGATCTGAACTGACAATTGCGTCTTTGCGCCAATTGGTATGGAAACTTGCACTGATGTACGTACTTACGTACGAAGTTCTACGGTGTAGCCGACTGAGTGCTTAAAATGTCATCTCAGACAATCATTAGTAAGCTTACATTTTCCCTAAGGTTTTCGGTTTTATTAAATCCTGAGACTCATTCACGCAACCAGGTCTAACAAAACATTCAAAAGATTTGAAACTCAGTAATAAAGCCATAAACCCTAAGTTTTATGTATCTGCATACTTTTGGCCTTACATCTTATCAATTTCTATAGTTTCGAGTATTTAGTGAGATCTCAGCTACTTACTGAAAGGCGGTATTTGAAAATTTGTCACTGCCTTTTGCTAGCTTATAACTATATGTCAAAAAACGATGTAGGTAAATGGTGTTTCTTAATGGTAGATTGCCTGATTTGCAGAACAAAAATGCGGTAATTTACCTTTAATTCAGTTAGCTTTCAATAGCCGCGATTAAATTTAATGATTAAGAACTTCTGCTTTCGCTGACGGTTCTTTTGGAGTATTTACAATTGCATGGTAGCAGCGGTTAGTAACCACGTGCAAGTTTTTTTCAGCTGTCAGCAGCCTTACATGCCTTAGCTCATAAGATATGTCGCATGTTTTACTTCAAATAGGGGCTCGATAAACTTTGGTATTATATGCTCAGTAATCCTAACATTGATGGGAAAACACATGCATTCGAACACCGCTGATTTACCTACCATTAAACAATAAGAAACCATATTTCAAAATACAAAGATTTTTAGAAAAAGTTATTTTTACAATCAAGCAAATATATTCTTTAATCGTATAGTGGAAATATTAAAGTACATTACATACAAGGATTTCCTTCAGGTAATTAGTCATATGATTAGAGATACACTGTTCATCTTAGACTTGTAACAAAGCTCCCTCAGTCAGGCATGATAATTATCCATCAAGAGGTCTGATATATCAAATTCACCCAAAAATTTGCTTCTGATATTCGCTATACTCAAAAGGCAACAATGTCTAGCAGACACTTTGTCCTGATTAATCGTAAACTCTGAAAAACGCTTGTATAAACTATTTAGAAATATCTCTGTTGTAGCAGGTCAATAAAAAGGTGAGCAGACTATTAGAATCTAAAACTGAGTTAACGCCACAGGGCGTACATTTGAACGTTACCAGAAGATTCATGAGAAGCTTCCAACTTGGGAACCACACGTGATGACTTCACAATCAGTCAGTCAGTTGCAACGTAGAACTTCGTACGTATGTACATAAGTTCATGTTGCCATACCACATTATTAGCACAGAGACGCAAATGTCAAATCAAATCCCATAGTGATAAAGATGGTAGAGGTATTAATGTTATAATAAAGAAGACTAGGGTTCGAAGATATTATTCAAAAAATATAATTCAGTGAGATAAGGTTAGAAAGACAAAGGTAGAGGTGCTGGCTAATCCAGAAGATTAGGATTTGAGAGAGCTCAAAGAGTGGATGCACCTGCGCCATTGCAAACGATTTTGAGCCATGTCGTTCAAGGTCTCTAACCATTGATGACTTTCGTCTCGCGGACCCCAACCAGGTAGTCTACATCTACCAACATGACTCAGTCCACTTGTCAGTGACTTCATGGATTTCTGCCATGTTTTGGTCTGGCCGCCCCTAGCTTTCTTCCAACCTACTCCTACGCCACAAAACATAGCTCGTCGAGGCAGTCGGTGGTTAGGCATACGTAACACATGTCCCAACCACCTCAACTGATGAAGTTTCACCACTTCATCGATTGATCTGCCATCCTTACCTAGTACTCGTTTCCTAACGACAGCATTGCTTACTCGGCTGTCCCACGATATACGAGCAATGCTTCTTAAACATCTATGATCGAATACTAGTAACCTACGAACATCTTCTACTCTTAACGGCCATGTTTCACAGCCATATAAGAGAACGGAACGAACTGCTGCGCAGTACACCCGCCCTTTGGTTAGCGAACGGATATCACGCCTACGCCATAAGTGACGCAGGTTGGCAAAAGCCAATCGAGCCTTCTGTATCCGAGCCGAGATTTCGTCAGTCACCAGGCCATCGGCACTGATGAGACTTCCCAGATAAGTGAAGCGATCAACATGCTCGACTACTTCATTCCCTATCACTAGTTCAGGTGCCAATGCAACCCAGTCTTGAAGCAACATTTTGCATTTCGAGGGGGAAAACCGCATCCCGAACATGCTCGCATTGTTGCTTATGGTAGTCAGAAGACTCTGCATTTTGTCAACGTCTTCACCGAATAGAACTATGTCATCGGCATATTCTAGATCAGTAAGCGACTTTCCCGGTAGAAGGTCAACCCCTGAAAAATCTGACGAGCTTAATGTTAACTCTAAGAGGATGTCTACGACAAAGTTAAACAAGAATGGAGAGAGTGGACAGCCCTGACTGACACCACTTGATGTAGAGAATTCAGATGACAGTTCGCCATATGCTCTCACTCGACCAGTGGTGTTCGAGTAGAGAGCTTGTATAAGGTTAATGTACTTCTTTGGTACACCTTTCAATGACAGACACTGCCACAGAACCTCACGATCCACTGAGTCAAATGCCGCCTTAAGGTCCAGGAACACGACTATTGTCGGACGTCTAAATGTGTGTCTGTGTTCCAGGACCTGTCGTAATGTGAAGATGCGGTCTATACAACCACGTCCAGGTCGAAAACCAGACTGGTTTTCTCGAGTCTGCTATTCACGAGCTCTAGTTAGACGTCTAAGTATAATCGAGGCTAACAATTTAGAAACTATATTAGTTAAACTTATTCCCCTGTGATTGTCACAAGAGGACTTCTGTCCTTTCTTGTAGATTGGGACAATCAGTGATTGGGACCAGTCGGATGGGATTACGTCCATTTCCCAGATTCTACCTAGGATCTCGTTCAGTTTAACCGTTAAAACTGGACCACCATCCTTAAACATCTCAGGGGTAAGCCTATCGGGACCTGCCGCTCTACCTCTCCTTAGATTTCCTATAGCTTTCTCAACTTCATGTAAACTGGGAGGAATTAAATCGATTTTCCATTCAGGATGACTGGGGATCGTGGGCAACCGAAGAGTGGCTGAAGGCCAGTTGAACTGATCCCTGAAGTGTTCTGCCCATCGGTCCAGCCTCCTAGATTGAGAATGGATAATAAGACCATCCTTTTCCGAGATAGTCTCACTTACATTCGGGTTCCTAATACCGGTTTCTTTGACAAGGCGGAAAAGTTGTCTAGTGTTGCCTATCGCCGCTGCCTTTTCCATCGCTTTTGCTTTCGCCACCCACCACTGTTCGCGGTCGTTACGTAGGCTTTTTATAAGTCTGCACCTAAGCTGACTACACTCTCCATCATGTTCAGAGTCAGGTGGGATGCGTTTTCGAGCATCCATCAGTTCGGTGGATGCGACTGAAATCCACTGCTTCATCCTAGCCTTGTGGTTTACCTTGCTAGCAGATACCATTGCTGTTTGCACAGCCTTCTTGATATGATTCCAACCTGCTTCAGGATGGGAATCACTTGCATGGCCGCCTAACTGTTTTTCTAGTTCCTCCTGAAATATTTTCTTAGCTCGATTATCATCAAGTAAAGCCCTAAGAGGCTTCCTTACGGTGTCTTTCCTACGTCCAGCAAGCCTCAAACAAATACGTGCTCGCACTAGGGCATGATCTGAATCTAAACATGTGCCCCAGAACGAGCGACAGTCCTCTATCGAACCCCTCCATCGGTGGCTGATGGCGATATGATCTAGTTGTGTCCAACGTTGAGACGACTTCGGGGGTCGCCAGGTCAAAAGGTGTTTTTCCTTATGCTTAAAATTAGTGTTTGCTAGAAATAGTTGGTTATCTGAGCACAGTTGCAACAGACGGTCGCCATTGTCTGTTCTTTGAGCCGCGAGACCGTAACATCCACCTAGGTGTCTTTCATTTTCACTTAGTCTACCTACTTGTGCATTGAAGTCACCAGCCATTATAACTATATCAGAGCGCTTAACTTTTTGGAGGAGGTCCGAAAGCTTTCTGTAAAACTCATCTTTTACATCATCTGGGCTGCAGTCAGTGGGGGCGTAGGCTGATATGACGAAGAGGCAACGGCGAGTGTCCCAATCTTTCCGAGTCCTTACTGTCCTGTTGAGTCGGACGGCGCACAAGCGACTATCTATTGGGATCCAGTCAAGGAGAGATTGTTCTGCCCTTCGACTCAATGCTATACGTACGCCGGCGAGGCCCCTAGAAGCAGCATCAGGGCTACCGGATACACGAAGGGTAAATCGAGCTGCTTCTTTATCTTGACATGGTGAGGTCAAATGAGTGATGCTACTCGGATCCTGTATGCGCGTTTCCGAGACGCAGCACACATCGATGGAACGAGATTCTAAAGTCCTAGCTAATGATGCCTGTTGCCCTATTTGACACAATGTCCGTACATTGAATGCTCCAACATGTAGTTTGGAACGGGGTTTAAGGAGACCAGGAACGACGTTTCGCAAACTCGTATCGTCTGCATTAGCTGTGCACTGTGATAAATGAATGTGAGAAGAGTTAGTTGTGGAGATAAGAGAGGTATTAGGGAATGTAGGAAGGATTTGATTTTGAACAATTTGGTCTCGTGTGCTGTTACGGGTATGAGGGCGGTTATCACTTCCCGGCTGCCCACACCGTGGAAGGTTGTTTCTTGAGGAACCTGAAAAGGAAGATGGATTAGTGTTGGTGCGTGACCGCAGAGTCCAAGGGACAACTGCTTGAGGCCGGTCACGCACGGCCTTTTTATGAAATGTTTTTTGAGGATTAGCTCCGTTCTTAAAGGCCCTTAGTGGGCACCCTTACCCAAGGAGACGGAAATCCGTGAGGTAGGGGAGGTGTGACATTTTTAGGGCCGACCTTTTCTAACCCTTCCTTCCTTGTGAGAAGGCAGCATCGCTGCAGATGCTGGTTGTCCGAGGGAAACACCTTACTGCTGTCACACCCCTCTACAGTCAGTCAGCAGTACGACTTCGCCCTCAGACCTTGGGTAGCTGCTTTTAGTCTCATCGTTCTCCAATCGACCTGCCTGGCATGGTAGGACCTGCAGGAACATGTGTTCCAGCCAGTATAGCTCGGTTGGGTCATCACGATAGGCAAGCCCGACCACCACGTCAAGGTAGCAGCTTCGGTCGGGACTTCACAATCTGTGGAGCATACGATTTAAAGGAAATCTCATTATATCACATGCAGCTGTTACAGTCACTCTAAGGTTGATTGAGGACAAAACTGTTTTTCAAAGTTTGAATATATTGCCGGAATTCAAACGTTCACTCACTCACAGCGTCTCTGCCTTGAAAACCCCCCACCAGATGTCATGTTCGACCACGTATACGTTGATATTATCAAACCGTTATTGCTGTTGAATCTGTACACACAAATAATAACATGCCTGACCATTTCACTAGATGACCATTAAAAAATATGGCGGTCTAAATAGTCTGCTGAAAGTTTAGTAAAAAGTGAATATTTACTTTTTGGCTTCATCGACCATCAGCAGTGATCAGATCTTTTAGTAGGTCAAAATAATTCTGGAAAATTTTATTCTCATTAGATTGATTGAATAAATTATTCTGACAATGCCCTTTTGTTGTTTAAAACCAGTAATTTGACAAATAAAAACATCTTATTGTGTCCGTTATTAATTTTCTTGATCATCCCCTTGTATGATCTAGTGCAGTGGGATTTAGCAACTTAGGCCAGTTGATATATATTCTCAACCCTACTCTGATTATATCTGACTGGTATGGACAATTGCAAGTGTCTGCGTAAATAAAGTAACCCATAGGACTATTAACTTCAGTCTCTAAAATCAAATGAAAAGTGCTTGTAAACCCATTCTGTTTCATAATTGTCTAAGTTCAATAACTGCGTTTCAACACAAACTACCCCCTAACCTTACGGTTCAATGTTTTGATTTAACGGAAGTATGACCTAAACGTAATTTAGATCGACTGAATAATTTTTCGGTACAAAAACAACCTTACCGTAGTTTGAGATAGGTTAAACTTAAATGATCAGCTAAGTGGATTAGCTAAATAAATAATGTGATGGCTTTTGAAGCGTACGGTAATGAGTTATAGTCCCGGAGTGGACATACATCCTGAGACAGAAGTACATCCAGCTGATATCTCCCGAATAGGATGAGACGCTCGTGCAAACTAGGATAATAATATAGGCAAATGCAATAAGTAGATATTGTGTATAAAGAGTTACGTTATGCAACACTTGAAGAAAAGCCAAACATGAGATGAGTATGTATCAAATGGATCGATTTCCAAATATAGCCAAGGTTTTCTGTTGTTTTGGTGTATTGAGTCAAAAAGTCAACTTCTTAGTCTCCAATTAACGTACCTTCGTTCTGTTCTAGTGAACGGATTCTTCGCACATAATTTATTCATTTGAGATGCCTGAATATATCATATATCAATGAGCACCGGCTAAGAATAAAATGTTTTCCGAAGTTTCTGTTATTCATAGGTCGGTTTCAACTAATCTTTCTTTACAGGTACATTCATTGTGTTCCGATTCATGGTATTATCCTGGATGACTCGTTGGATCGTCATTAATCGGGATCTAATCCCCTTCGGATATTACTGTCTTGGTTCAGTTGGCCTTGCTGTGTTAATGGTTATGAATATCGTTCTATTTATTCGGGTTGTTTATGCTGATTTTTTAACAAATAATACAGTTTCCAGTGCAGCGTTGTTAGTTTCTTCAGCTGGTTCTGGTACAAGTGCACCTGGAAAACCTCATCTCTCGGTGCATTCATCTTATGTTTCTGCACATTAAGATAAAATTATGAGTGTTTCCGTCCTTTTATTTTGTATACCGTATAATTTTTTAAAATTCAACTTTTACAAAATCTTTTTTTTTGTAATGTTTTATAGTAAATAATGTTTCATCCTGTTGTCTTTGTAAATATCAACAATGTAGTCTGTCAATTAAGTCAGCTAATGTTTTATCTAACTTCCGAATTTTAAAAGTTATTGCGCATTTAACCTGTATTTTTATAATTTTGTTTCTACGTAATAACTCAGTTTTATCTGTGATATTACTTCAACAATTTTTTACCCTCTTTATTTTTCATTATCCGCCTTCGTTTACAAATTTTGTATCGTACCCTCATTCACTAAGCTTGGCCAGTAGTTTCAAAATCATTTGTTTGCTTACTGTATTGTGATATTTTCTGTGTTGCATATCTTTGTTCGACAAATAAATTGGAAAATTTTCAAAATCAACTTGCACATAACCACCGTTCGTTCAAATTTTTAACTTGAATCATTATGATTATTGCTTTCACCATTGGGTACATTTGTCTGCTGTCCTAACTACACTTGCCAGAATGCTCTATTTTTATAGTCTAATTATTTTATGATAATCAGTAATGGAATTAAAAGACTCGAAAGTTTTTATTTTACTAACTTCAACTGAGTAATAAGTACGTGTTTAAAATTATGTCACTAAGTCTAAGAAATGATTGTCGCCAACTCATAAAAACCTTTTTCATAGTGTTTTTATCCGCCACTGTTAGCACAGCATCAAGCGTATTTCAAATTACGACACTTCATCTTACTCACGTCTGCTACCACCAATGGAGCATAGGCCGCCGAACAGTATTCTCCAGCCTACCTTGTCTTAAGCGTCCCTTTCCAGTTCTGTCCAGTTTTTGTTCATTCTTCTCATGTCTGTCTCCATTATTCGACTTAATGCCTTCCTTGGCCTTCCTCTTTTCATTTGACCTTGGAGATTCTCAATGAGGTCTTGTTCTGTCACGCAGTTAGGTGCTTTCCGTGATGTGTCCTATCCACTCCCAGCGCTTCGTGATTTCCTCCCCGGCTGGAATATGATTTGTTCTCTCCCACAGTAGGTTGTTGTTGATGGTGTCTGGCCAACGGATTCGAAGTATTTTGCGTATACAACTGTTAATAAATACTTGTATCTTGTGGATGATGGCTTTCGTAGTTTTCCAAGTTTCCGCCCCATACAGTAGAATTATCTTGTCATTCGTATTTAAAATTCTGACTTTGGGGTTTGCTGGCAGATGTTTCGGGTTCCAGTTGGTGTTCCATTTTAGAAACGCAGCCCTTGCTTTACCGATCCGCGCCCTCACACCTGAATCGGATCTACCTTGATTGTCGATGATGCTGCCCATATACATAATAGTGTTAACGTCCTTCAAGGCATCTCCATCAAGAGTGATATGGTTTGTGCATGTTGTGTTGTATCGGAGAATTTTGCTTTTCTCTTTATGTATATTGAGTCCCACTGCTGCCACACTGGTTGTCTTGCATTTGTTGCTGCGTGTATGATCGGAGAGCCAGATCGTGCAGCCGCGTCCTGGCTGTCCACTGTATCCCGTGCTTCTCTCCAGATGTTGACGTCTTCATAATCCAGTCGATCACCAGGAGAAAGGGTGAGAGTAAGCAATGGTGCCTTACACCGGTCTTCACTTGGATCGAGTCTGTGAGCTGTTCTCTATGCACGACTTCGCAGTGTAGTCCATCATAAGAATTCCGTATGTTGTTGACTATTTTCTCAGGCACGCTGCTCCTGCTACTTTGTCGCTCTTGATTCGTCTGATGGCCATACTAACCTCTCCAATTATTGGTGGGCCAACATCGATTGGGAGGACCGTTGATGTTGGGTAGGCTCAATGGAGCTGGTTGATTCATAAGATCCTTAAAGTGCTCTACCCATCTGTTTCGTTGATCTTCAGTGTTTCTGGTTACTTTGCCCTCCTTGCTTTTCACTGATCGTTCTAGTTAACGATAGTTTCCAGTGAGCTTCTTCGTTGTATCGTGCAATCGTCTGAAGTTTTCTTCTCTTGCAGCCTTTTCCGCTATCATCGATAGATCTTCCTCATAATTACGTTTGTCGGCTCTGATGCTCCTCTTCACTTGCTTGTTTGCTTCTGTGTATTCAGCTTGTGCCTTGGCTTTCTCTGCTCTTGTTCAGCTGATGTAGATTGCAGCCTTCTTGTTCCCCCTTGAATTTTTTCAAGACTATTAACAGATGTCCATTCCTTATGATGGTACTTCCTGTGGCCCAGGACCTTCCGACATGTTGAAGTGATTACCTCCTTGATCCCTTTCAAGTTGTTCTCCATGGTAGTTTCCCTACCATTGAGTAGATCTTTCAGGGCCTGGAACCTATTGCTTAGTGCTATCTTGAATTCGTTGAGCTTTCAAGTATCTCGAAGAAATGCCGTATTAAACTTTTCTGATGTTATTCGCAGATTGAAAATAAGTTAGCAAAATGAACAGTCGAGGAGATGAATTAGTTTCAACTCTAGTTAAAATATAAACATAAGAAATCCAATTAAGAAGGAGCAAGTAATACTGAATAGTGAAAATGTAAGAATGATTATAGAACTACAATTTAACGGAAGATGGCTAATGAATCGTTGATACCCAACATATGTAACCACTGCTTACACCTACTGTGGATGTTCAAGCGGGTAAGTCTGCGTGTAGAATGTTGTCATAGTAAATTCCTATTGTATACTTGGGTTAAAAATGCCCAACTATTACGAAGAAAGCGTGTGGGCTAGCAAATCCTTTGTCATCGGTTTTGCGTGAGTTCATTCTGATAGCCAACGTATTATTTAATAATGGGAGTCTATCAAAATACATCAGAACAAAGGTAAAAATATTTCTAATGTAATTCTTCAGTGTCTCTATCTTATTGCAGAATTGTTTCAAGAAACTTTGTGTGATAAGCTTTGCATTTGCTGTGACTTAACTGATACAAGTAAGTCTTAAGATTTAATTATCCTTCTTGTGTGTGAATGAAGAAACAAACAAAAATTTCATGTTATTTCACGATTACAGCTTAGACATCAGTAAGATTTTTTCACATTTTATGAAGAATATAGCTTATTCTAAGGTTTGCAGTAAAGTGTATAACATACAAAAATCATGGACAAGCAAGAATTAGGGGCTTATCAGTGAAATTTCCCAAGACGGTGTAATCAAAAATGACCTAGAATTAGTCTTTGGTTAGCTTTTTTTCAGGTAAAATATATGTATATTTTTATTTTGAATGAAATTATGCTGTGATCCTTTCTTCCTGCAAGTGGATGTGCACTATGGAGGAATCCTATACCAAGACGGAACAACCATCCAGTGCTTCCAAGTTTTCAGTGGTGGTCTGAAATTGATCGGTTCATGATTTCAATTGATATCTCTTGGTTAAATTCACCCATATGTAAAATAAATAATAAGTATGATTCTTTGCAGATTATTTTTAAGTTCTTGGTAAAATTTCGTAATTTTCACCATTTATGTAAGTGGTTTACCTGTATAATCTTTAATATATGTCGTATCGTGTACAATATTCATCTGGTTTGCAAATACATATTTGTTGTTGAAGATTTAAATTGTTCTTGTGGGTTTTAAATTGGTGTCCCTTAAATTAATTAGTTGATTATATGAATATTCATCACCTTAACCTGTACCTATCATCTTAACATTGTACATTAACCGCTATATGAAGTAATGGTGACCAAGTCAATCTACTTCACCAGTTCTTCAACTACTAACCTTAGTTATATGTGAAGTTGTGGATTTTTTAGTTAGAATCCGGCTAACCACCCGAATCCATTTCGATTTAATACTTTAGATGATAAACTGCAATATCGGTTGCATGTATTCTTCATCCTGTATTTAGTTTCAAACAATAACTTTGATATTTTTAACATTTTTGCATTTCTATCACGATAATCGGGAGACATAGTTTAAGCAAATAATTATAATAATAATTATTATTGATTTGTCATAAGGGTTTATAATTACATTACCAGCTATTGTTGTAGTTAGAAAATTTTTATATAGTCTTTATAACTTACTTGATGAGTTTTCATGTATATATGAGTGTATAGCGGATTGTCCTGGTCAAGAATTCTAAATGAAATTTTCAAAATTTATTAAGAAACTACTGAAAATATGTATTCCCATTCTCCGATTACATATTCACTGAATTATTTTACTTTTTGTTTTATCACTGTTGGTCATCATTATTTTTCATTTCGGCTTACACAGTAAATTAACTGAAATTTCAATACTGCTCAATGGCTCTACACTGTTTAGATCGATTATTATGATCTATTTGTAATCAAGTTACCAGTGTGGGCGACATTTTTTTGACATGAGAATAAGTTATTTTTATTGTATAACTAAATACCTATTCTTTATTAGCTTATCTACGTGTTATTTGTCATAATAGAGAAATGAGTACATGATCTCTCAATTGAATTGATATATCAATAATTGTTGGCTGTTCAATAATCTTCATTTGTAAATCTACATGTTAGTAAAACGTAATAACTAGTCCCTAATCTAATATTTCTCAAAAATGGGACATTTTCTTGACTAACATATATCATATTAGAACTAAATAAACATTTCTAGCTGTTTTTAATATCTTGGACATTAGTAGTTCTGTTTTTCACTGTCGATAGAAATTAATTAAAAATTATTATTATAAACAGAATTTTCCTATTACTATTTCATGCATTTACTGATAATATGTGACCTTTCAACAACAACAATAATAATTATTATTATGATGCCTGATAAAACGTTAGTCCCTGTTTGTCTTAATCCTTAACTGGCTACCCTAATTGATAGTTTCATAAATAAATTGAAGTTTTGTGAATAATATTAAATTACACGTCACCGACATTTGATTGATAGTTTGATTTTAATTATAAAGCTTGTAAAAAAAAGAGTTATTGTATAAAATCAATTCATCTCTCTAATTTATGCGTATAAAAATTCAATATCAAATAA